CAGCTCTTACATTTAGGTCTTTCATCTGTTTTGAGTTAATTTTTTTTATATGGTGTGAGGTAGGGATCCAAATTAATTCATTCTCTCTCTCTCTCTTTTTTTTTTTTTTTTTTTGAGATAGGACCTTGCTCTGTCATCCAGGCTGGAGTGCAGTGGTGTGATCATAGCTCACTGCAGCTCAACATCCTAGGCTCAAGTGATCCTCCCACCTCAGCTTCCTAAAGTGTTGAGATTGCAGGTGTGAGCCACCACACACAAACTTCACTCTTTTGCATGCATCTATTCAGTTGTCTCAGCACTGTTTGTTAAAAAGACTATTCTTTCCCCATTGAATGGTCTTGGCACCCTTATTTCAAATCAGTTGCCCTTAGCTGTCTGGATTCATTTCAGGGCTCTCACTTCTATCCCATTGGTTTCTATGTCTCTCCCTATGCTGGTACTACACTCTCTTGATTACTGTAACTTTGTAGTAAGTTTTGAAATTAGGAAGTGTGAGTCCTCCAGCATTATTATTCTTTTTCAAGATTCCTGAGTCCTTTGTGTTTTCATATAAATTTTAGGATCAGTTCCATTTCTGCAAAAAAGGCCATTGAGATTTTGATAGGTTTCCCCTAATGCTAATATCTTACAAGACTATGATCCATTTGTCATAGCTAAGAATCAACACTGGACATCAGTGTTAACCAGACTCCAGACTTGATTTGGATTTCCCCAAGTTTTCCCACTCATGGCCTTGTCTGATCTGGGATCACCTTTAAGGTCCCACATCACATGTAGTCATCACGTCTCCCTGGTCTCCTCCAATCTGAAAATTTTAGTCTTTCCTTGTCTTTCATGACCTCGACAATCTTCTTTTTCCTTTCTTTGTTTATTTTTATTTTTTGGTTATTTATTTTTGAGACAGGGTCTTGCTTGGTCACCCAGTATATTAGTCCATTTTCATGCTGCTGATAAAGACATACCCAAGACTTGGTCATTTATAAAGAAAAAGAGGTCGGCCGGGCGCGGTGGCTCACGCCTGTAATCCCAGCACTTTGGGAAGCCGAGACGGGCGGATCATGAGGTCAGGAGATCGAGACCATCCTGGCTAAAACGGTGAAACCCCGTCTCTACTAAAAAATACAAAAACTAGCCGGGCGAGGTGGCGGGCCTATAGTCCCAGCTACTCGGAGGCTGAGGCAGGAGAATGGCGTGAACCCGGGGCGGAGCTTGCAGTGAGCTGAGATCCGGCCACCGCACTCCAGCCTGGGTGACAGAGCGAGACTCCGTCTCAAAAAAAAAAAAAAAAAAAAAAAGAGCTTTATTGTTATTTATTTATTTATTTATTTATTTTGAGATGGAGTCTTGCTCTGTCACCCAGGCTGGAGTGCAATGGCACAATCTCAGCTCACTGGAACCTCTGCCTCCTAGGTTCAAGCAATTCTCCTGCCTCAGCCTCCTGAGTAGCTGGGATTACAGGCACCTGCCATCGTGCCTGGCTAATTTTTGTAGTTTTGTAGAGGTGGGCTTTCACCATGTTGGGCAGGCTGGTGTTGAACTCCTGACCTTAGGTGATCCGCTTGCCTTGGCCTCCCCAAATGCTGGGATTACAGACGTGAGCCACCATGCCCAGCCAGAAAAAGAGGTTTAATGGACTCACAGTTCCATGTGGCTGGGGAGGCCTTACAATCATGGCAGAAGGTGAAAGGTACATCTTACATGGTGTCAGACAAGAGAGAATGGGCACCAAGTGAAAAGGGAAACCTCTTATAAAATTAACAGATCTCATGAGACTTATTCACTACCATGAGAACAGTATGGAGGAAACTGTCCCCATGATTCAATTCTCTCCCACTGGGTCCCTCCCACAACACATGGAAATTATGGGAGCTACAACTCAAGATGAGATTTGGGTGGAGACACAGCCAAATTATAGCACCCCAGGCTGGAGGGTGGTGGCACAGTCATGACTTACTGCAGCCTTGGCCTCCTGTGCTCAAGTGATCCTCCTGCCTCAGCCCCCTGAGATAGCTGGGACTATAAGCTTGTGCCACCACACCCAGCAATTTTTAAATATTTTTTGTAGAGATGGAGTTTCGCCATGTTGTTCAGGCTGGTCTTGAACTCCTGAGCTCAAGCAATCTCTCTACCTCAGCCTCCCAAAGTGTTAGGATTACGGGCATGAGCCACCACACTCAGCTGACATTCTTCTTTTTGCTGCTCAAATTTTCCAAATTTGGCTTTGGGAGTCCCTTAGGGCCAGCTTCTTAAACAGACAGATTCTTCCTTTAGGGGGAGGTAGAATGACATTTATTTTTCTTACTATTTATTTATTTGTTTACTTAAAAACTACTGGTTGATTGATTGATTGGTTGAGACAGGATCTCACTCTGTTGCCCAGGCTAGAGTGCAGTGGCATGATCATGGCTCACCGCTCCTTGACTTCCCTGGCTCAAGTGATCCTTCCGTCTTAGCTTCCTGAGTAGCTGAGACTACAGGCACCCACCACCACATCCAGCTAGTTTTTGTATTTTTGTAGAAATGGGGTTTCACCATGTTGCCGTGGCGGGTCTTGAACTCCTAGACTCAAGCGATCCTCTCGCCTCAGCCATTCAATGTGCTGAGATTACCAGGTGTGAGCCACTGTACCTGGCCAAAGTTTTTTGATTTTTTATAGATGGGGTCTCACTTTGTTGCCCAGGCTGATCTCAAGCTCTTGGGCTTAAGTGATCTGCCTACCTCTGCCTACCAAAGTACTGGGATTACAGGTGTGAGCCTTGGCACCTGGCCAGAATGACACTTATTAGCCACCTACAGTGTCCACTGTACAATGTTGAGTATGACACACACATCATCTCATTGGAGCCTCAGGACCCTCTGTCCAGGAGATAACAGCCTTATTTTACAGATGGGAAAACAGGCTCAGAGAGGTGAAATGATTTGCTCAAGCTTCCACAGCAATAATGTCACTCTTCCCCTACTCCAGATATCCCTCTTCTGGGCTTTCAGGGTGATCCCAACATTTGGAGACAGTCACAGGTTGCAAAACATGGAACAGAGGAGGGGATTCCTAGGGCTAAGTATTGGACATGGCCATACCAACCCCCTAGGGAGATCTTAAGACCTGGGAGGCCTTAGCTTTCCTGATACCAGAATAATGGCAGCTTCAGGGTTCAGTGTGGGGCCTTAGCATCAGCTCCCCTGAGTATGAATCCTGCCCTACACTCACTGACATTGGACAAAGAACCAGGCCTCAGTTTCCAGTTTTCCCCTCTGGGAACTTGGGGACTATGATAGGACCCAACTCATTGAGTTCATATCCTAAGAGAAGGCCTAGCCCATTGGCGGCATTAGCACATTCAAAATTAGGAAACAGTATTTTGTTTTTATTTTTTTGGAGACAGGGTCTCACTCTGTTACCCAGGCTGGAGTGCAGTGGTGCGATCATGACTCACTGAAGCCTTGACTTCCTAGGCTCAAGCGACCCTCCCACCTCAGCCCCCCGAGTAACTGGGACTACAGGCATGTGCCACCACGCCCGGCCAATTTTTTTTTTTTTGTACTTTTTGTAGAGATGGGGGTCTCACTGTGTTGCCCAGGCTGCTCTCTAACTTCTGAACTTGAGCGATCTGTCTGCCTCCGCTCCCCAAAGTGCTGGGATTACAGGCATGAGCCACTGTGCCTGGCTGTAAACAGTTGTTAAGACAATTCTTTCTTCTGATGCCAATTGCAGAGTTTGGGGGTCCTCACACTACTGCAGTTTCTTTAATTCTCTAGAAGAATTAACAGGACTCACTAAAAGCTGTTATACTTACGGTTACAATTGATTGCACTAAACAATACACGTGAAAATCAGCGAAGACAAGAGGCTGATGATGCAGAGTCCGGAAGAATTCTGAACATGAACTTACTTATTCTCTCTGCGTAGAGGCACGGACAGTGTTATTGTCCCACCAGAGATGTGGGACAGCATGCATGGTGTACTGCCAACTAGGGAAGCTCCCTGGAACCTTGGTGTCCAGAGTTATGTTTCTTTCTTCTTCTTCTTCTTCTTCTTCTTCTTTCAAATAGAGATGGGATCTTGCCATGTTGCCCAGTCTGGTCTCAAACCCCTGGCCTCAAGCAATCCTCCTGCATTGGCCTCCCATAGCACTGGGATTACAGGCATCAGCTGCCACACCCGGCCTGGTGTCCAGAGTTTTCACTGGGGCTCAGTCACATAGACATAGATGACCACCTGCCTCTGTGACTAAATCTCATTCCCCAGCTTCTCCCCAGGTTGATCTGATGCTGCATGGCCCAAGGCCTCCTCCAGAAATCATATTTATTACTACCTGATGTGACCCAAGACCCCAAGTAGACAAAGACGCTCTTATCAGGCAGGACATTCGAAGAGCTTAAATCACCTCCCAGGAGCTATGGGCAAAGGCCAGCCTTCTCTTTGGGCCAGGTTCAATTCTTTACTGCATGACACCTTACTGAGGGCTTTCACACCATCGTCACGTTTCATCTATACCACAATCCTGCAAGGAGGTGAGCCTCAGGCCATATACAGAACTAGGGGCCACTGGCTGGGTGCGGTGGCTCACGCCTGTTAATCCCAGCACTTTGGGAGGCCGAGGTGGGTGGATCACAAGGTCAGGGTTTGAGACCAGCCTGGCCAACATGGTGAAACTCTGTTTCTACTAAAAATACAAAAATTATATGGGCATGGTAGCAGGTGCCTGTCATCTCGGCTATCCAGGAGGCTGAGGCAGGAGAATCACTCAAACGCAGGAGGCAGTTTGCAGCGAGCCGAGATCTCACCATTGCGTGCCAGCTTGGGTGACAAGAGTGAAACACCATCTTAACAAAGAAAACAAAACAAAACAAAACAAAAACCTAGGGGCCAGGAATGGATGCTGGGCACTCCGCTCCCTCAGCCATCCCAGCCTCCCTCTGGCCCCAGAGTGGCTATCTCCCTGTGGTGAGCTGCAACGTTGGTGCCAGGCAGGGTCCCCCATGCTGCGTGTCTTCCATAGGTTGGGGAAGAAGCCGATTTTTCTGTGAAGTCCACATGTCCCTGCAACTTTACCCTGTACTACGAGGTGGCTGCGCGGGGCAATATTGTGCTATCGGGCCAGCAGCCTGCCCACGTCACCCAGCAGCGAAGCAAGCGGGCAGCCCCTGCCCTGGAGAAACCGATTCGTTTAACACACCTTTCTGAGACAGGTGAGCCGAGCAGCAGGGAGAAGGTTCCTGTTCTTCCTTCTGAACCATTGAGACTGAGATGAGCGCTCTTGCGAGGAGGGACAAGGCAAGACCCAGCAGAGAGGGGAGCCTGCCTTGGGGCAGAGGGGACACATCCTTAACAATACCAGACTGGTCCAGGAGGACAGTGATCAGCCGCTGGAAGTGGAGAGGTTCAGGCCCCAGGCTCTTCTCACTCTGTGTCTGCAGGGGACAGGGACAAGCCAGCCACAGACTGGGCTCTTGCACTGGCCCACACTGTGCTGTTGCCTCTTTGCCCAGGTGGTTCTGCCTATGAGTCCTCTTCCTTTTCTCTCCTTTTGACACCATGTGCTCCTTATAAGGCCCTCCTCCCCTCCTCCCAGGAGACTTCCTTAGTCCCCTCCTCTTCAAAGCCCTTCTTGCCAATACAGGGTCCCCAACTTGAGCACTATAGACATATAGAAGGGGGTGGATCACTCTAGAGTGAGTGGCACTCTGTGCACTGTAGGGTGCTGAGCAGCATCCCTGATCTCTCCCCTCCAGATGCCAGTAGTACCAACTCTCCACAGTATGATGACCTAAAAAGTCTTCAGATGTTGCCACTATCCCCAGGGGGCAGAGTCACTCCCAAGTGAGAATCACTGAGATAGGTAGGTAGATAGATAGAATGATGGGTGAATAGATAGATAGACAGGCAGGGTCTCTCAGGCTAAGGCAAGGTTTCTCAACCTTGGCACTATCAGCATTTGGGCAAGATCATTCTCTGTGGTGGAGGCACTGTAGGATGTTGAGCAGCATCCCTGGCCTCCACTCCCTAGATGCCAATAGCCCTATAGATGATGGAGGGATGGATCGATGGATGGATGGGCAGATAGGAAGATGGATGAATGAATGGTTGGATGGATGGACTGATAGAATAGTGGATGGATGGAAGGATGGATGGATGGATGGATGGATGAATGGACAGATGGATGGATGGACAAAAGGATGGATGAATGGACAGATGGATGGATGGACAGAAAGATGAATGGATGGATAATGGGTGGGTGGATGATTGGATGAATAGATGGATGGATGGATGGATAGTGGGTGGGTGGATGGGTGGATGATGGATGAATGGATGGTTGGATCATAGATGGATGGATAGTGGGTGGATGGATGGGGGATGATGGATGGAAGAATAGATGGATGGATAGTGGGGTGGGTGGATGAGTGGATGATGGATGGATGAACAGATGGATAGATGATTGGATGGTGGATGGATGGGTGGATGATGGATGAATACACAGGTGGATGGATAGTGAATGGGTGGGTGGATGATGGATGATGAATAGAGGGATGGGTGGATGGATGGATGGTGGTGGTGGTGGGTGGATGGATGGATGGTGGTGGTGGGTGGTGGGTGGGTGGGTGGATGATGGATGGTTGGTGAATAGAGGGAAGGGTGGATGGTGGGTGGCTGGATGGATGGGTAGATGGTGGATGGATGAAGATATGAATGGATGGATGATTAGATAGAAAGAGAAGATCCCTCTTTCTTAGGCAGGCTTTCTCACCCTCTGCACTGTCAACATTTGGGACCATCCCATGCACTGTAGGATGCTGAGCAGCATCTTTGGCTTCTACTTACTGGAAGCCAGTAGCATCCCTTCCAGCAATGATGACCAAAAAACGTCTGCAGACATTGCCAGCATCCCCTGGGTAGCAGAATTGCCTTGGTTGACAACTGCTGGCCAGAGTTGTGCTTTGGGCATGGTGTACCTGCATCCTCTTGGTCTTCTCTTCTCTTCTGGGTGAAATAACAGGGGCTTTATGTCTTCCTGGAACCCTTGTCCGGGGCCGGCCCTGGGCTTGGAACTCCCCACAATCTGTCCCCATTTAACCCAACTGCAGCCTGGGCTGGTGGTGGTTCCACTGTGTCCATCTGCAGATGAATGGGCTGTGACTTGGGGGTTTCAGGGACTTTTCCATTGCCTAGTAAGGGCCAGAGCCAGGATTTGAACCCCAAGGCCGATTGGGTTCCCACCTCCTCCTATTGGCCATGAGTTTCCTTCTGTCCCCAGTTCCCCCAACCATCCCTGTCCACTGGCTGCTCTGAGCTCTGCACAGAACCAGCTGACAGATGGCCCATTCTGGAACTGGGAGCCTTTCTACTCTCATTCTCTTGTAGTAGAGTATTTGGGAGTGCCTGGACAGGCTTCTAAGATCCTCTATCCTTTAAGGATCATTTATCCACAAGGAAGGAAGTATGAACTCAGTTCAAGTCAGCAAATAATGGCTGCCCAGGTCTACTGGCCTCAGGCCCCAGCAAGATGGAGCCAATCAGAGGGAGGGGTCGGGGGTCAGGGGCATACTGGGGAGCTGGAGTGGTGCTACCTGAACAGGCCAAGTTGGTTTTGCTGTCCACGGAGGAAGCAGAGGGCTGCTCAGGGAGCAGGGACCGTGTTCCCCAGCAGAGAGGATGATTCTAGGCAAATTCCAGCCTGCTCTGTAGGAGCCCAAGGTGACCCTAGAGCTGAGTCAATGGGAAGAGTCAGCGTTGATGGAGGATGTAGCCTGGGAAGGGCATTTCAAAACCAAAGATGCAGACTGTCTCAATGTGTCGACAGGCGTATAGTGCAGGGCAAATTGGGGCAGAGCCTGAATGGCTGAGGTTGCATATCGGATGCAGATAATTCACCACTTCTTTCTACTTTTGCTCACCTCAGAGCCCCCACCAGCCCCAGCAGCTGAGGTCAATGTGTGTGTGACCTCTCTTCATCTGGCCGTGACCCCCAGCATGGTCCCCCTCGGTCGCCTGCTGGTCTTCTACGTCAGGGAGAATGGAGAAGGGGTTGCCGACAGCCTTCAATTTGCAGTTGAGACCTTCTTCGAAAACCAGGTAGAGCATCGTGCACTGAACCCGGGACACAGCCAAGGGCCCTCGGGGCTTCTCCAAGGTGCTGGCCAGGGGGTCTGTACACATCTAAGACTCATGTTGTGTCACAGCGTGACATAAGGAATTGTGGGAACATGAGTTGCATCTTTACTGAAGCGTCTCCAAAAGTCACCCAAAAGGAGATTGTGTTCACAACACATAAGGAAAGCCATCAATTGTTTTCTGCCTTTGTTGAATTCAGGATTTAAGGTGAAGCACTTGTTTCCATCAGCACCTTCAGCCTCCTGTCCCCCTCCCTGCAACAACTTTTATCATTACCATTATTTTTTGAGACGGAGTCTAGCTCTGTCACCCAGGCTAGAGTGCAGTGGTGTGATCTCGGCTCACTGCAGCCTCTGCCTCCCGGGTTCAAGCAGTTCACCTGCCTCAGCCTCCTGAGTAGCTGAGATTACAGGCATGCACCACCACGTCTGGCTAATTTTTGTATTTTTAGTAGAGACGGGGTTCCACCACTTTGGCCAGGCTGGTCTTGATCTACTGGCTTCAAGTGATCCTCCCGCCTCAGCCTCCCAAAGTGCTGGGATTACAGTTGTGAGCCACTGTGCCTGGCTCCTCCCTACAACTTCTAAACAGACTGCCACATGCTCTCCGCCAGCACCTGCCTTCCCATCTCTCCCTGTCCCTCCGTGTTCCCTTTTTTGTGTCTGCTGCACAATGACCAGCTGCCCATCACAGTGTGGGACCAGTTCCAACCAGGTGGCAAGGCAGAGCGGGCAAAGACCCACTGTCCTCGGTGGGCAGGGGGTGCATGGATGGGGCAGAAGAGATGCCTCTGGACTGGACCAAACCTGGGTTGAACCAAGTTTTTTTGTTGTTGTTTGAGACGCAGTTTCACTCTTATTGCCCTGACTGGTGTGCAATAATGCTGTCTCGGCTCACTGAAACCTCTGCCTCCCGGCTTCAAGAGATTCTCCTGCCTCAGCCTACCAAGTAGCTGGGATTACAGGCACCCGCCACCATGCCCAGCTAAATTTTGTATTTTTAGTAGAGACGGGATTTCACCATGTTGGCCGGGCTGGTCTCGAACACCTGACCTCAGGTGATCCACCCGCCTCGGCCTCCCAAAGTGTTGGGATTACAGGCGTGAGCCACCACTCCTGGCCAACTGAACCAAGTTTCTTATCTCTTGCCGCATTTGCGCCCAGGTTTCAGTGACGTATTCAGCAAATGAGACCCAACCTGGGGAGGTTGTCGACCTGCGGATCAGGGCTGCAAGGGGCAGCTGTGTGTGTGTCGCCGCAGTTGATAAGAGTGTCTACCTGCTCAGGTCTCGGTTCCGGCTGACTCCTGCCCAGGTGAGCAGAGCCCTCGGGTTTGGGTTCTGGTACCTCCATGGGGCCTTACCTTCTCTTGCTCTCCCTTTCCCATCTCCCATTTTAATAATTGAAGAGCTGCGTTTGAATCCAGATTTGCTTTCTCCGTCAGGTTCATTTCTCAGGGAACCTGAGGGGTGCCTGATACATCCTTGTTGCTGCTTTAGCACAGTTGCAAGATCAGGGAGTCAAGGTCATCAGATTTTTGCAACATGACATTGGACCAGGTCTCGTCTCTCTGGCTCCAATTTTCCCATCTTATTTTATGTTATTTTTAGAGTTGGGGTCTTGCTCTGTTGCCTGGGCTGGAGTGCAGTGGCGTGATCATAGCTCACTGTAGTCAACACATCCTGGGCTTAAGCGATCCTCCCACCTCAGCCTCCAGAGTAGCTGGGGCTACAGGCATGCACCACCATGCCTGGCTAATTTTTTCTATCTTTGTAGGGACGGGGTGTTGCTGTGTTGCCCAGGCTGGTCTCGAACTCCTTTGCTCAAGCCAGCCTCCTGGTTCAGCCTCCCCAGCGACTGGGATTACAGGCATGAGCCACTGTGCCTGGCTCCTGTTTGCCCATTTTAAAATGGGCTGATGCTACCAGTGCCCATCTCCTGGAGGTTGTCATGATGTGATAAAGAGGTTGGGATGGGAGCACGCTGCACCCACGAGAGCCAGTTTGGGTTGTAAAGAAAACTTTAGCTGACCAGTCTCTGTCCCCCTTTGCCTGCAGGTTTTCCAGGAACTGGAAGATTATGATGTTTCTGATTCCTTTGGCGTGTCCAGGGAGGATGGTCCTTTTTGGTGGGCTGGGCTGATGGCCCAACGACGCCGGCGCTCCTCCGTCTTCCCGTGGCCTTGGGGCATCACCAAGGACTCTGGGTTTGCCTTCACCGTAAGGAGAGGTGGTCTCAGATCCCTCTGCCCCCTTCTAAGGTCCTCTTGCCTAGAAATAAGAGTCTCGGAGATTCAGAAATGGGTTGGAAACAGAATTGGAAGCTTTTCTTTCTTTCTTTTTTTTGAGATGGAGTCTCACTCTGTGGCCCAGGCTGGAGAGCAGTGGTGCGATCATAGCTCACTGCAACCTCGAACACCTGTGCTCAAGTGATCCTCCCACCTCAGTCTCCCAAGTAGCTGGAACTACAGGTGCATGCCACCGCACCAGGCTAATTCTATTTTAGTTTATTTTTTTTTAGAGATGGGGTCTCGCTATGTGGCCCAGGCTAGTGTTGAACTCCTGGCCTTGAGCACTCCTCCTGCCTCAACTTCCCAAAGTGTTAGGATTACAAGCATGAGCCATTGCACCTAACCTTCCAAACTTTTCTTTTTCATTTCTCCCCAATGAAAGCTCACAGGCAGACCCTTTCAATTTGCAAAGCGGTGGAGAGCAGAATGTTATGCATGTCAATGGTCAGGTTCAAATGGATAACTTGAACTTGTGATGGGATGTGTTATGACATTGACATGCTTTGCTGCGAGGAAAACCTTCTCATTGGGAGCTGCAGGTGCCAGCAGCTCTTAGCTCTGCCTCAGCTTTGGTTAACTTGGTTATGTGTCTGGCAGCTTTCAAAGCAGAAGGAGGTGGCTGTGTTCCCAGGTGGCAGGGGGTCTGAACTGCACAGGTGATCCTCCTGTCTCAGCCTCCCCAGTCGCTGGGATTAGAGGCATGAGCCACTGTGCCCAGCTCCAGTTTATCCATCTTAAAAAGGACTAATGGCCGGGCGCGGTGGCTCAAGCCTGTAATTCCAGCACTTTGGGAGGCCGAGACGGGCGGATCATGAGGTCAGGAGATCGAGACCATCCTGGCTAAAACGGTGAAACCCCGTCTCTACTAAAAAATACAAAAAACTAGCCGGGCGCGGTGGCGGGCGCCTGTAGTCCCAGCTACTCGGGAGGCTGAGGCAGGAGAATGGCGTAAACCCGGGAGGCGGAGCTTGCATTGAGCTGAGATCCGGCCACTGCACTCCAGCCTGGGTGACAGTGCGAGACTCCGTCTCAAAAAAAAAAAAAAAAAAGGACTAATGCTGGCTGGGCACAGTGTCTCATGCCTGTAATCCCAGTACTTTGGGAGGCCAAGGTGGGCGGATCACAAGGTCAAGAGATCAAGACCATCCTGGTCAACATGGTGAAAACACAAAACTTAACTGAGCATGGTGGTGTGCTCCTGTAGTCTCAGCTGCTTGAGAGTCTGAGTCAGGAGAATCACTTGAACCCGGGAGATGGAGGTTGCAGTGAGCGGAGATCACGTCACTGCACTCCAGCCTGGTGACAGAGCAAGACTCTGTCTCAAAAAAAAAAAAAAAAGGGGCCAATGCTATCAGGTGCCCATCTCCAGAGGTTGTCATGATGTAATATAGACAGAAAGGGATTGGGATGGGAGCATGCTTCGCCCTTCAGGGTCACACAGGGTCACACCTTAGGGTGCTGGTGGTCTCCACTCAAATGCGTGTCCCGTTGGAGGGTGCCTTTCATTTCTTTAAAAAATGTTTCTGGCCTGGTGTCGTGTCTTATGCCTGTAATCCCAACTTTGGGAGGCCAAGGCGGGTGGATCACCTGAAGTCAGGAGTTCGAGACCAGCCTGGCCAACATGGTGAAACCCCCGTCTCTACTAAAAATACAAAAATTAGCTGGGTGTGGTGGCGGGTGCCCGTAATCCCAGCTACTTGGGAGGCTGAGGCAGGAGAATCTCTGGAACCAGGAGATGGAGTTTGCAGTGATCACGCCACTGCACTCCAGCCTGGGTGGCAGAGCGAGATTCTGTCTCAAAAAAATAATACATAAATAAATAAAAAATATTTCAAAGGCATCCTTCCCTTCCTGACCTGTGCTGCTTTTATTATGAAATTTTCCAAACATGCAGAAAAGTTGAGTGAATTAGACAACAAACACCCACATGCCCGCCACCTACTTCCCAAAGTTCTATTTGCAAAACAAACAAACAAACAAAAAACAAAAAACAAACAAACAAAAAAACCTCTTTTTTTTTCTTTTTTTGAGATAAGGTCTCACTTTGTCACCCAGGCTGGAGTGCAGTGGTGTGATCTCAGCTCACTGCAGTCTCGACCTCCTGGGCTCAAGCGATCCTCCTGCCTCAGCCTCCTGAGTAACTGGGACCATAGAACACACCATCATACCTCGCTAATTTTTTTTTTTTTTTTGTATTTGTAGAGATGGGATTTCACTGTGTTGCTCAGGCTGGTCTCGAACTCCTGGGCTCAATGGATCCACCCGCCTTAACCTCACGAAGTGCTGGGATTACAGACATACACCACTGCACCTAGCAAAATAAACCTTTTTTTAAAAAAAATAGCATTTCAATTATGAGTATGTGAACTGCCTGGCAGGTTGAACCCCAGGTCCCTATCAGCTTCAGGAAGTCAGAGGTGACACCTTTGAGTCAAAGGAACTGGGTTTAAATTTCTTATTCACAAATCCAAGTCAGCCCAGGCTAGAGTGAGTCTTCTTTTCAATCCAGTTGCACCCAGTAATTAGTACAATGATGAGGACGTAATAAAAAGAGTCACTGCATAGCTGGGCATGGTGGTGCATGCCTCTAGTCTCAGCTACTCAAGAGGCTGAGGTGGGAGGATCGCTTGAGCCTGGGAGTTTGAGGCTGTGGTGAGCTATGATTGCACCACTGCACCTCAGTCTGAACCACAGAGTGAGGCCCTGTCTCTACTAATACTAATACTAATACTAATACTAATACTAATAACTAATAAATGAGATCATTGCATCCCACAGTTGGTCCTTGGTTGGGGTCAGGTACTGTGCCAACTGATTTCCTTCCTTCCTACCTTCCTCCCTTCTTCCCTTCCCTTCCCTTCTGTTCACCTTCCCCTTCTCCTTCCTTTCTTCTTTTCTTTTTAATTTTCTTTTGAGATGGAGTCTTGCTCTATTTAGCCCAGGCTAGAATGCAGTGCTGTGATCTTGGCTCACTGCAACCTCAGCCTCCTGGGTTCCAGTGATTCTGCTGCCTCAGCCTCCCGAGTAGCTGGGATTACAGGTGCCTGCCACCACGCCTGGCTAATTCTTATATTTTTAGCAGAGATGGAGTTTCACCGTGTTAGCCAGGCTGGTCTTGAACTCCTGACCTCAAGTGATCCTCCCACCTTGGCCTCCCAAAGTGCTGGGATTACAGGCATGTGCCACCGCATCTGGTCATGATTTTTCTAATTGAGATGAAATTCATGTAACATAAAACTCACCATTTAAAATTCAGTGGCATTTATTATATTCACAGTGCTGTGCAACCACCACTCCTACCTAATTCCAGAACATTTTCATCCCCCAAAAGGAAACCCAGTCCCTAGTAGCAATCACTTCCCATTTCTCCTCCCTCAGCCCCTGGCAGTCACCCGTCAATCTGCTTTCTGTCTCTGTGGATTTGCCTGTTCTGGGTGTTTCATCTCAATGGAATCATACAACATGCAGCCTTTTGTGTTTGGGCCATCTGATTTGGTTCCACAGTTCAAATGTGCTGTTCTCTCTTCTTCTCCACCCTGGATGGTCACTGGGTCCCATATTCTCCCCAGCCTGTGCCACCAAACCTAGAATAAAAGAATGATGCCCCCATGGTGGCAGGCGCCTGTAGTCCCAGCTACTCGGGAGGCTGAGGCAGGAGAATGGCGTGCACCTGGGAGGTGGAGCTTGCAGTGAGCCAAGATTGTGCCAGTGCACTCAAGCCTGGGCAACAGAGCGAGACTCCGTCTCAAAAAACAAACAAAACAAAACCAAAAAAACAAAAAAAGAATGATGCCCCCAAAGCTGCCAAAAAGTGATATTGGGACAATGGCCACAGGGTGATTCATTCCCTTATGCTTCTGGGGGCTGTCAGCATCCACTTCCCCACCAATGGTTTGGGTGTTGTCTGTTGTCTAGGAAACGGGACTGGTGGTGATGACCGACCGAGTGAGCCTGAACCACCGGCAGGATGGTGGCCTCTACACTGATGAGGCTGTCCCCGCTTTCCAGCCCCACACAGGGAGCCTGGTGGCAGCAGCTCCTTCCAGGAACCCCCCCAGGTAATGGCTTATACATTGAGCAAGGTTTTCTAACCCTGATGCTATTGAGTTTTGGGGCTTGTCTTAGTCCTTCCTGGCTGCTATAACAGAAGACCATAGACTGGGTGGCTTATAAACAACTGAAATTTATTTCACATGGTTCTTGGGGCTGGGAAGTCCAAGAACAGGGCACCAGCACATTCGGTGTCTGGTGAGGGCTCACTTCCCACTTCATTGATGGTGGCTTCCACCTTCTTGCTGTATCCTCATATGGCAGAAGGAGTGAGAGAGCCTTTTTTTTTTTTTTGAGATGGATTCTCACTCACTCTGTCCCCCAGTACCGTGCTGTTTTGGTTACTGTAGCCTTGTAGTATAGTTTGAAGTCAGGTAGCATGATGCCTCCTGCTTTGTTTTTTGTTTTTTGGTTTTTTTGCTTTGGATTGTCTTGGCAATGCTGGCTCTTTTTTGGTTCCATATGAACTTTAAAGTAGTTTTTTCCAATTCTGTGCAAAAAGTCATCAGTAGCTTGATGGGGATGGTGTTGAATCTATAAATTACCTTGGGAAGTATGGTCATTTTCATTATATTGATTCCTCCTATCCATGAGCATGGAATGTTCTTTCATTTGTTTGTGTCCTGTTTTATTTCGTTGAGCAGTGGTTTGTAGTTCTCCTTCAAGAGGTCCTTCACATCCCTTGTAAGTTGGATTCCTAGGTATTTTACTCTCTTCACTCATGATTTGGCTCTCTGTTTGTCTGTTAATTGGTGTATAGGAACACTTGTGATTTTTGCCCATTGACTTTGTATCCTGAGACTTTGCTGAAGTTGCTTATCAGCTTAAGGAGGTTTTAGGCTGAGACAACGGGGTTTTCTAAATATACAATCATGTCATCTGCAAACAGGGACAATTTGACTTCCTCTTTTCCTAACTGAATACCCTTTATTTCTTTCTCTTGCCTGATTGCCCTGGCCAAAACTTCCAACACTATGTTGAATAGGAGTGGTCAGACAGGGCATCCTTGTCTTGTGCCAGTTTTCAGAGGGAATGCTTCCAGTTTTTGCCCATTCAATATGATATTGGCTGTGGGTTTGTCATAAATAGCCCTTATTATTTTGAGATATGTTCCATCAATACCTAGTTTATTGAGAGTTTTTAGCATGAAGGGCTGTTGAATTTTGTCAAAGACCTTTTCTGCATCTATTGAGATAATCATATGGTTTTTGTCAATCATTCTGTTTATGTGATAGATTTCATTTATTGATTTGTGTACGTTGAACCAGCCTTGCATCCCAGAGATGAAGCCGACTTGATCGTGGTGGATAAGCTTTTTGATGTGCTGCTGGATTTGGTTTGCCAGTATTTTATTGAGGATTTTTGCATCGATGTTCATCAAGGATATTGGTCTAAAATTCTCTTTTTTTGTGTGTGTCTCTGCCAGGCTTTGGTATCAGGATGATGCTGCCCTCATAAATGAGTTAGGGAGGATTCCCTCTTTTTCTATCGATTGGAACAGTTTCAGAAGGAATAGTACCAACTCCTCTTTGTACTTCTGGTGGAATTCGGCTGTGAATCCATCTGGTCCTGGACTTTTTTTGGTTGGTAGGCTATTAATTATTGCCTCAATTTCAGAACCTGTTATTGGTCTATTCAGAGATTCAACTTCTTCCTGGTTTAGTCTTGGGAGGGGGTATGTGTCCAGGAATTTATCCATTTCTTCTAGATTGTCTAGTTTATTCACGTAGAGGTGTTTATAGTATTCTCTGATGGTAGTTTGTATTTCTGTGGGATCAGTGGTGATATCCCCTTTATCATTTTTTATTGCGTTTATTTGATTCTTCTCTCTTTTCTTCTTTATTAGTCTTGCTAGCGGTCTATCAATTTTGTTGATCTTTTCAAAAAACCAGCTCCTGGATTCATTGATTTTTTGAAGGGTTTTTGTGTCTCTATCTCTTTCAGTTCTGCTCTGATCTGAATTATTTCTTGCCTTCTGCTAGCTTTTGAATTTGTTGCTCTTGCTTCTCTAGTTCTTTTAATTGTGATGTTAGGGTGCCAATTTTAGATCTTTCCTGCTTTCTTTTGTGGACATTTAGTGCTATAAATTTCTCCGTACACACTGCTTTCAATGTGTCCCAGAGATTCTGGTATGTTGTGTCTTTGTTCTCATTGGTTTCAAAAAATATCTTTATTTCTGCCTTAATTCCATTATATTCCCAGTAGTCATTCAGGAGCAGGTTATTCAGTTTCCATGTAGTTGTGTGGTTTTGAGTGAGTTTCTTAATCCTGAGTTCTAATTTGATTGCACTGTGGTCTGAGAGAGAGTTTGTTGTGATTTCTGTTCTTTCACATTTGCTGAGGAGTGCTTTACTTCCAATTACGTGGCCAATTTTAGAATAAGTGCAATGTGGTGCTGAGAAGAATGTATATTCTGTTGATTTGGGTTGGAGAGTTCTGTAGATGTCTGTTAGGTCTGCTTGGTGCAGAGCTAAGTCTGGATATCCTTGTTAACCTTCTGTCTCTTTGATCTGTCTAATATTGACAGTGGGGTGTTACAGTCTCCCATTATTATTGTGTGGGAGTCTAAGTCTCTTCATAGGTCTCTAAGGACTTGCTTTATGAATATGAGCGCTCCTGTATTGGGTGCATATATATTTAGGATAGTTAGCTCTTCTTGTTGAATTGATCCTTTACCATTTGTGTTTTTTTTTTTTTTTTTTTTTTTTTTTTTTTTTTTTTTTTTTTTTTTTTTTTTTGTAGAGATTTGATCTCCCTTGTATCCCCCATGTATGTAAGGTGAGCCCCGCCTTTGTCTCTTTTGATCTTTGTTGGTTTAAAGTCTGTTTTATCAGAGACTAGGATTGCAACCCCTGCCTTTTTTTTGCTTTCCATTTGCTTGGTAGATCTTCCTCTATCCCTTTATTTTGAGTCTATACTCTGCATGTGAGATGGGTCTCCTGAATACAGCACGTTGATAGGTCTTGACTCTTTATCCAATTTGCCAGTCTGTGTCTTTTAATTGGGGCATTTAGTCCATTTACATTTAAGGTTAATATTGTTATATGTGAATTTGATCCTGTCATTATGATGTTAGCTGGTTATTTTGCCCATTAATTGATGCAGTTTCTTCCTAGCATCGATGGTCTTTACAATCTGGCATGTTTTTGCAGTGGCTGGTACCGGTTGTTTCTTTCCATGTTTAGTCCTTCCTTCAGGAGCTCTTGAAAGGCAGGCCTGGTGGTGACAAAATATCTCAGCATTTGCTTATCTATAAAGGAGTTTATTTCTCCTTCACTTATGAAGCTTAATTTGGCTGGATATGAAATTCTGGGTTGAGAATTTTTTTCTTTAAGAATGTTGAATATTGGCCCCTACTCTCTTCTGGCTTGTAGGGTTTCTGCCAAGAGATCTGCTGTTAGTCTGATAGGCTTCCCTTTGTGGTTAACCCGACCTTTCTCTCTGGCTGCTCTTAACATTTTTTCCTTCATTTCAACGTTGGTGAATCTGACAATTACGTGTCTTGGGGTTGCTCTTCTCAAAGAGTGTCTTTGTGGTGGTCTCTGTATTTCCTGAATTTGAATGTTGGCCTGCTTTGCTAGGTTGGGGAAGTTCTCCTGGATAATATCCTGAAGAGTGTTTTCCAACTTGGTTCCATTCTCCCCATCACTTTCAGGTACACCTATCAAATGTAGATTTGGTCTTTTCACATAGTCCCATATTTCTCAAAGGCTTTGTTCATTTCTTTTTACTCTTTTTTCTCTAACCTTGTCTTTTTGCTTTATTTCATTAATTTGATCTTCAAGCACTGATACCCTTTCTTCCACTTGATCGAATTGGCTATTGAAGCTTGTGCCTGCATCACAAAGTTCTCGTGCCATGGGTTTCAGCTCCATCAGGTCATTTAAGGTCTTCGCTACACTGTTTATTCTAGTTATCCATTCGTCTAACATTTTTTCAAGGTTTTTAAACTTCTTTGCAATGGGTTTGAACATGCTTCTTTAGCTCAGAGAAGTTTCTTATTACCGACCTTCTGAAACCTACTTCTGTCAATTCGTCAAAGTCATTCTCCATCCAGCTTTGTTGCATTGCTGGCAAGAAGCTGCGATCCTTTGGAGGAGAAGAGGCACTCAGGTTTTTAGAATTATCAGCTTTTCTGTTCTGGTTTCTCCCCATCTTTGTGGTTTTATCTACCTTTGGTCTTTGATGTTGGTGACCTACAGATGGGGTTTTGGTGTAGATGTCCTTTTTGTTGATATTGATGCTATTCCTTTCTGTTTGTTAGTTTTCCTACTAACAGTCAGGTCCCTCAGCTGCAGGTCTGTTGGAGTTTGGTGGAGGTCCACTCCAGATCCTATTTGCCTGGGTATCACAGTGGAGGCTGCAGAACAGCAAATATTGCAGAACAGCAAATATTGCAGAACAGCACATATTGCTACCTGATCCTTCCTCTGGAAGCTTCGTCCCAGAGGGGCACCTGCCTGTATGAGGTGTCTGTCAGCCCCTACTGGGAGGTGTCTCCCAGTTAGGCTACATGAGGGTCAGGGATGCACTTGAGGAGGCAGTCTGTCCATTCTCAGAGCTCAAATGATACACATGCAGCCAACAAGCATATGAAAAAGCGCTCAATGTCACTGAACACTAGAGAAATGCAAATCAGGCCAGGCATGGTGGCCCACGCCTGTAATCCCAGCACTTTGGGAGGCCAAGGTGGGTGGATCACCTGATGTTGGGAGTTTGAGACCAGCCTGGTCAACATGATGAAACCTCATTTCTATTAAAACTACAAAAATTAGCCAGGTGTGGAGGCACACCTGCAATTCCAGGTATAATTCAGGAGGCTGAGGCATGAAAATCACTTGAACCTGGGAGGTGGAGGTTGCTGTGAGCAGAGATTGCATCACTACACTCCAACCTGGGCAACAGAGTGAGACTCTGTCTCAAAAAAAAGGGAAATGCAAATCAAAACCACAATAAGATGCCATCTCATGCCAGTCAGAATGGCCATTAATAAAAAGTCAACAAATAAGCTGGGTGTGGTGGCTCATGCCTGTAATCCAGAATTTTGTGAGGCCAAGGCAGGTGGATCACCTGAGGTCAGGAGTTCAAGACCTGCCTGACCAACGTGGTGAAACCCCATCTCTACTAAAAATACAAAGTTAGCTGGTTGTAGTGGCAGGTGCCTCTAATCCTAGCTACTTGGGAGGCTGAGGCTGGAGAATCATTTGAACCTGGGAGGCAGAGGTTGCAGTGAGCTGAGATTGCGCCATTGCACTCCAGCCTGGGTGACAAGAAGGAAACTCCATCTCAAAAACAAAGTAAAAAAATAACAGAAGTTGGTGAGGTTGTGGAGAAAAGAGGATGCTTATGCACAGTTGATGGGAGTGTAAATTAGTTCAACCATTGTGGAAAGCAGTGTGGCAATTCCTCAAATAGCTAAAAACAGAACTACCATTTGGCCCAGCAATCCCATTACTGGGTATATACTCAAAGGAATATAAATCATTCTACCATAAAGACATATGCACACAAATGTTCATTGCAGCACTATTTACAATAGCAAAGACCTGGAATCTACCTAAATGCTCATCAATGACAGACTGGATAAACAAAATGTGGTACATAAATACCATGGAATACTATGCAGCCATAAAAAAGAACAAGATCATGTCTTTTGTGGAAACACAGATGGAGCTGGAGGCCATTATCCTTAGCAAACTAATGCAAGAACAGAAAACCAAATACTGCATGTTCTCACTTATAAGTGGGAGCTAAATGATGAGAAAACATGGACACAAAGAGGGGAAGAGATGGGTCTACTTGAGGGTGGGGGATGGGAAGACAAAGAGGATCAGAAATCATAACTATTGGGCACTAGGGTTAGTACCTGGGTGATGAAATAATCTGTACAACAAACCCCCATGACACACATTTACCTATATAATGGACCTGCACATGTACTTCTGAACCTAAAATAAAGTTTTTAAAAAACAAGTTATGTCCTAATCAAGTAGACTGTTAACCCTGCTAGGTAAGAGAATTAATGTGTTATATCCCAATCAAGTACCATGTTAACCCTTCCAGGAAGAAGAAATTAATGCATTATATCTGATCAAATAGAATGCGAAGCTGCTAGGTTCGTAAAAGGTTTGTTACGTTCATGAAACCTTAATCGTTTCTTTCTTTCTTTTCGTAGAACAGAGAAGAGAAAAAGGACTTTCTTCCCTGAAACATGGATTTGGTATTGTCTCAACATCAGGTACAGTAAGATTTCTTTTCTGTGCTGACTTTGCCGGTTGACTGAAAGGCACTCAGGCGGGCCCAGAGAGCCCCTGGTGGGACGGACAGGCCTGATACCAACATCTGAGTAAGACACTGTGCATCTTTTTCTAACACATAAAACTTCAAGCCATGAAGCCAGGCTTGAGTCCCGCTGCACATTTGGACGTTTGCCTGGGAAATATGAAATGCAAGGGCTTTGTGCCTCTCGCAGCTCCCTCTTGGGGTAACTCTATCTGCTCTGTTTGTATAACGAGCTCATTAAAATGATTACAGTTCCCTGGAACATGAACTTGACTCCACCTACCCCCACTCCTTGCTCCTCGGGGGACTACAGCTCTTGCTCAAAAAACAGGATGCCTTTCTCAACACATTTCCTTTTTGCATTTTTCCCCCCCGTTTAGTTCTCTTTGAAGCAGGATTGCAGGCACCCCTTTTCTGCTGGATGCAATTGACTTTTTTTTCTTTCAATGCTCAGCGTTAGAGCACCAATGACACTAGTAAAAAGTGGCAGTGGCGTGCCCTGGCAAACCAGTTTGGCATGAAAACTGACTCTTGGTCCAGCCCGGGCCAACAGGTGGGCTGACTGCTGGAGCCGTGCCCTTCTTCCAGGCACAAGGTGCTGTGGCAAGGGCTTGATAGAGCCAGGCACGCAGCTGGGGGCCCCTCAGGTTGCTTTGGGGGATGTGTATGTCCTCATCCTGGGAAGGTCTGACTGCTGATCGGAACACATTCAGGTCACTGTGTTTTGCTCTGGGGGCCCAGCTGTAAGACAGCCTATCTGTCCATCATCATTCAAATGTATGTAATTTCTGGATGTCTGGTGAGCTTTTCTTATTGTTAAAAAATTTTTCAATTTATTTTTATTAGGGCTGGGAGCGGTGGCTCACACCTGTAATCCCAGCACTTTGGGAGGCTGAGGCGGGCGGATCTCAAGGTCAGGAGATCTAGACCGTCCTGACCAACACGGTGAAACCCTGTCTCTACTAAAAATACAAAAACTTACCCAGGCGTGGTGGTGGGTGCCTGTAGTCCCAGCTACTCGGGAGGCTGAGGCAGGAGAATGATGTGAACCCGGGAGGCAGAGCTTGCAGTGAGCCGAAATTATGCCACTGCGCTCCAGCCTGGGTGACAGAGCAAGACTCCGTCTAAAAAAAAAAAAAAAATTCATAGAGATGGGGTCTCTGTATGTTGCCCAGGCTGGTCTGAAACACCTGTCCTCAAGTGATCTTCCTGTCTTGGCCTTTCAATGTGCTAGAATTACAGGTGTGAGCCACTGCTCCTGGCCCGGATGTTTTTGATGTTAAGGATGGTCCCTTGAATAAGGCAGACAGAGTCCCAGCACTCATAACATTTTCTTTGTAGCTAGACAGGTGCCCAAAGAGCCATGATGGTGCAGTAGGGTTAGTCTTCTCCTGGAAGGCTGGGCACGGAGCTTGGGAGACAGAGAAAGATGGTGGAATCCTTTGGAAAAGCCAGAGAGGGTCCCCAGTGTGGGGCCCAAGCTGAATCCCACCATATGAATAAGCAAGAAAGGGAAGGGTGTCCGGGAAGAAGCGCCAGCATGAGCAAGTGCTGCAAAGTAGGAGAGGGTGGTGGATTTCCACATGGTTGAAATGAGATGGAAGGAGCTGAGGAGGATGCAGGGAGTATGAGACCATGTGGGCTGTGCTGGGGTGAGGTTAAGGGTGCAGGTGTGGAGAGCCAGGGATGGAGCCATGGATTTGGGATTTAGGGTTTAGGAAGTTCTCTCTCCTCTCTTGTTGGCTGAGGCAAGGATGAATTAGAGGAGACAGATCTGAGACCAAGGAGGAGGTTCCTGCTGGACCCAAAAGAGGACTGGTCAACTCTCTTTTAAGCCACACCCATTTAAAGGTGGGGTGTGGTGGCTTACGCCTGTAATCCTAGCACTTTGGGAGGCCGAGGTGGGAGGATTGCTTGAGCCCAGGAGTTCAAGACCACGCTGGGCAACATAGCAAGGCCCCATCTCTAAAAAACATTTTTAATTAGCGAGGTGTGGTGGCACATGCCTGTGGTCCCAGCTACTTGGGAAGCTGAAGTGAGAGGATCGCTTGAGCCCTGTAGATTGAGGCTGCAGTGACACAAAATTGTACCACTACACTCCAGCCTGGGCGACAGACTGAGACCCTGTCTCAAAAGGGGAAAATGATGAAAAAATGAATTGGTTTAAAAAATTATGGTGAAATACTCAACATAAAATTTACGATCTTAACCATTTTTAAGTGTATAGTTCAGTGGTATTAAGGACACTCAGGTTATCGTGCAAACATCACCACCACCCATCTCTGTGACTCCTTTCTTCTTACAAAACTGACACTCTGTCCCCATTAAACACTTACTCCCCTCTTCTCCCTTCCCCCAGCCCTTGGCAACAACCCCTTCTGTCTCTGAGCTTGACTATTCTAGGGACCTCCTATAAGTGGAATCTTGTAGTATTTGTCATTTGGTGACTGGCTTATTTCAATGAACATAATGTCCCCAGGGTTCATCTGTGTTGGAGAATCCATGTCAGAATTTCCTTCCCTTTTTTTTTTTTTTTTGAGATGGAGTCTCGCTCTGTCACCAGGTTGGAGTGCAGTAGCACAATCTTGGCTCACTGCAACTTCTGCCTCCAGGGTTCAAGTGATTCCCCTACCTCAGCCTCCCAAGTAGCTGGGACTCCAAGCACGCACTACCATGCCTGGCAAATTTTTTTTTTTTTTTTTTTTTGGTGAGATGGAGTCTTGCTCTGTTGCCCAGGCTGGAGTGTGGTGGTGTGATCTTGGCTCACTGTAAGCTCTGCTTCCTGGGTTCACACCATTTTCCTATCTCAGCCTCCTGAGTAGCTGGGACTACAGCCGCCCGCCACCACGCCTGGCTAATTTTTTGTATTTTTAGTAGAGATGGGGTTTCACCATGTTGGTCAGGATGGTCCAGATCTCCTGACCTCATGATCTGCCTGCCTCGGCCTCCCAAAGTGCTGGGACTACAGACATGAGCCACCTCGCCTGGCCTCTATGTTCAAATTTTTAAGGAATCTCCAGACTAATTTGCACAGCAGCTGCAGCGTTTTACGTTTCTACTAACAGTGTACCAGGTTCCAATCTTACCACATCCTCGCAAGCACTTGCTATGCTATTTTCTTTTTCATTTCTTCTTTCTCCTTCCTTCCTCCCTTCCTTCCTCCCCTCCTCCCTCCCTCCCTCCCTCCCTCCCTCCCTCTCTCCTCCTTCTCCTCCTCCTCTCCTCCTCCTCTCTCCTCCTTCCTCCTTCTTTTCTTTCTTTCTTTCTTTCTTTTTTTTTTTCTTTCTTTCTTTCTTTCTTTCTTTCTTTCTTTCTTTTTCTCTTTCTTGAGACAGAGTTTCACTCTGTCACCTAGGCTGGAGTGCAGTGGTGCAATCTTAGCTCACTACACCCTCCGTCTCCCAGGTTCACACAATTCTCCTGCCTCAGCCTGCCAAATAGCTGGGACTATAGACACGCGCCACCACACCTGGCTAAAAATTTTCGTATTTTTAGTAGACACGGGGTTTCACCATGTTGGCCAGACTGGTCTCAAACTCCTGACCTCAAGTGACCCACCCACTTCAGCTTCCCAAAGTTCTGGGATTACAGGCGCGAGTCACCGTGCCCAGCCTATTTTCTTTCCTTTTCTTTTTTAATATCCTAATTAAATACATGAAGTGTATCTCATTGTAGTTTTTATTTGCATTTCCCTAATGATTAGTGATGTTGACCATCTTTCATGTATTTATCAGTCATTTGTCTGTCTTCTTTGGATAAATGTCTATTCAAGTAATTTGCCCATTTTTGAATCATGTTGCTGTTTTTGTTATTGAGTTTCAGGAGTTCTCTATATATTCTGGGTATTATTTCATTATCAGATATATGACTTCCAAATATTTTCTCTCATTGGGTTGACTTTTTACTCTGTTGATAGTGCCTTTTTTTTTTGAGACAGGGTCTCACTCTGTCACCCAGGTGTTCAAGTGATCCCCCAACCTCAGCCTCCCAAGTAGCTGGGTCTACAGGTGCACACCACTACTCCTGGCTAAATTTTTAAATTTTTTGTAGACATAGGGTCTTGCTGTGTTGTCCAGGCTGGTCTCAAACTCCTGGGCTCAAGTGATCCTCCTTCCTCGGCCTCCTGAAGTGCTGGGATTACAGGGGTAAGCCACCATGCCAGCCCTTGGTAGTGTCTTTTGATGCTCAAAATTTTGCAGTTTTCATGAAGTCCAACTTGTCTACTCTTTTTTTGTTGCCTGTGCCTTTGTTTTCATATTCATGAAATCATCATCAAACCCAATGTCATGAAGCTTTTGCCCCATTTTCTTCTAAGAGTTTTATAGTTTTACTTTTTACTTTTAGGCCATGGATTCATTTTGAGTTAATTTTTTATATGGTGTTAGGTAAGGTCCAAATTCATTCTTTCACGTATGGATGTTTGCTGTTTCTAGCAGTATTTGTTAAAAAGATTGTCTTTTTCCTAAAGTATCTTGATGCCCTTGTTGAAAATCATTTGACTATGTTGTCAGGGTTTATTCCTGGGCTCTCTATTTGAATCCATTAGTCTATATGTCTGTCCTTATGCCAGTAACACATTGATTTGATTATGGTAGCTTTGTGGTAAGTTTTGAAGTGTGAGCTCTCCAGCTTTATTCTTCTGGTTTCTTTCTTTGGCCACCAGAGTCCCTTGAGATCCATGTAAAATCTCAAGGTGGAGTTTTCTATTTCTGCAAAATAAAATAAAATTTAAAAGTCATTGGGGTTTATGAATGGGATTCCACTGAATCTATAGATCACTTTGGGTAGTTTTGACATTTTTTTTTCTTTTTTCTTTTTTGAGACGGAGTCTTACTCGTCACCCAGGCTGGAGTACAGTGGCGTGATCTCAGCTCACTGCAGGCTCCACCCCTGGGTTCACACCGTTCTCCTTCCTCAGCCTCCCGAGTAGCTGGGACTACAGGCGCCCACCACCACACCCAGCTAATTTTTTGTATTTTTAGTAGAGACGGGGTTTCACCATGTTAGCCAGGATGGTCTCGATCTCCTGACCTCATGATCCACCTGCCTTGGCCTCCCAAAGTGCTGGGATTACAGGCGTGAGCCACTGCGCCTGGCCAGTTTTGACATTTTAACAAGTCTTCCGATCCATGAACATGGGATATGTTTTCATTTACTTATATCTTTTTTGTCTTTTTTAGTTTCTTTCAATAATCTTTTTGTGTATGTGTGACAGGGATCTCACTCTGTTGCCGAGACTAGACTGCAGTGGTGGGATCACAGCTCACTGTGCCCTCGACCACCTGGGCTCAAGTGAATCCCCCACCTCAGCCTCCTGAGTGGCTGGGACTACAGGCATATGTCACTACACCCACCTAATTGTTAATTTTTTTGTAGAGACAAGGTCTCATCATGTTGCCCAGGATGGTCTGGAACTCCTGGGCTCAGGCAGTCTCCCACCTCGGTCTCCCAGAGTGCTGGAACTACAGGCATGAGCCACTGCGCCCAGCCCATCTTTTCTATTCGAGTCAGGGCTGAGGGACAGTTTTTTCCTGTTGCCACTTTGGTGATGCCTTCAGTGCTTTTTTCTAAGCTCCTAGGGTGCTTCGCTGAGCCATGGAACCTGGGTCATCCATGCCCACCTGACCCCCCAAGGCATAGCCCTGGAGAAGGGCCCCCCATCATGGCTGTCTGTCTCTCCGCAGTGACCCATCTGGTGAGGAGACACTCAGCGTGAAGGTCCCGGACTCCATCACTAGCTGGGTGGGTGAGGCCACGGCCCTGTCCACCTCTCAGGGCTTAGGCATCGCCGAGCCTTCCCTGCTGAAGACCTTCAAGCCCTTCTTTGTGGACTTCACGCTCCCCCGTCTCATCATCCGTGGGGAGCAAGTCAAGATCCCGCTCAGTGTCTACAACTACATGGGCATCTGTGCTGAGGTACTCAGCCCCCAAATATATAGCCTTCTTCCATTCAATGGGGAGTTGGGACTGCATTGGTGCTATAAGGGAGGCAGGAGTGGGACAGTGTTGGCTTGGGGGATTTAGGAGGGCGAGAGCCTCTGTAATGTTGGGGAGGCGGGGATGGGTGGGCTCAGCCTGGGAGGTTTTGGGGAGGATGCCTCATCTGTGCTATCAGGGAGGCAGGAGTGGGATGAGATCAGCCTCTGATTCACCAACCATCGAAGCCAGGTGGGGAGGAGGTGGGGACGCATGTGTGTGAGTGAGAGGGACTTGGTGCAAATGGAGCCGTCGTCCCTGACTCCTAGCAGGGGCGTGCCTGGACTGGTATCATATATGACAGCATGGAGCTTTCTCTGTAAAGGGCCAGATAGGAAATATTTCAGTCTTTGCTGACTGTACAATCCCTGTGGCAGCGAATCAACTCAGCCCTTATAGCATAAAAGCAACCTAGATGATCTCATCTAGAGCACCTCTGTACCCATAGGCACACACATGCATGCAGAAACTAGCATGCCCATACACACACACGAATGCATATCCACATGCCTTCTCCCGGTACATGCACATGTGTATACATGCATGCATGCACATGTGTATACAATCTGTGCTTGCATACATGCACATAAGTGTGCACCCAGGGACACATGCATTCACGGCACACACATGCACATGAATACACACACACATGCACACACAGAGCTGTACTCTGACATCATGGAGCTGCACAGTTGGAGAGAGGGTCAGGAGAGGCCCTCTGTGGACCTGCTGTGGAAGAGGTTGCATCCATCTGGAGTCCCAGAGTGGATAGACATGCAGGAGAGGCAGCCCTGGCTGGAACTGGCAGCTTCAGTCCAAGGGAGATCTGGACCTGTGGGGATATGGAGGGCTGTGGGGAGGAGAGGGCGCCCAGCAAGACAGATGGGCATGAGAAGGCCAAGTGGGGCAGCAGACAGCAGAGAGTAGTTTATTCTGATCGGAAATGGAAAGGGGACCTTCCCAGGGGGAGCATGGCTCTTGGAGAGGCTGACAAGTCTGGTGTGTGCAGTGAGTGGTGGGATGTGTGTTGGACCTCGAGGCACTGGGAGGGGGCCTGGATTCCAGGCACCATGGGCCAATGCCACCCTCTGCAGGTGTACATGAAGCTCTCGGTTCCCAAGGGCATCCAGTTTGTTGGGCACCCTGGCAAACGCCATCTGACTAAGAAGATGTGTGTGGCTCCCGGGGAGGCTGAGCCCATCTGGGTCGTTCTGTCCTTCAGTGACCTGGGGCTCAACAACATCACAGGTGAGGACCCCACAGTTCTGGGGATGTTCCCCTCTCCAGGCCACAAAAGGGTCCTGGCATTGACCCCAGTTGGGGATGAGGGCTGGATGGGGCAGCAGGTAAGGTTAGGACTGTCCCAAGGAAAATGGGACAGCAACTGCGGCAAGCAGGACAGAAGGAATGGGCCCAGGAGGAGTGGGGAGGTGGGCCCTGGGGTCTCACCTGTTGGGGGAGCTGAGCTCTTAAGATGCCAACCCAGTGTAGCACACACACATACAGACATGCATACACACACAAATCCATCCACACAGACACATGCCCGCATGTGTAGACATGCATACACACACAAATCCACACACACACGCCCACATGTGTAGACATGCATACACACACAAATCCACACACACACGCCCACATGTGTAGACATGCACACACACACACAAATCCACACACACAAATCCACACACACATGCCTGCATGTGTGAACATGCATACACACACACAAATCCATACACATAGACATGCCCATATGTGCAGATATGCATTGCACATGCAAACCTGTACAAACACATGCACACATGCACACACACTCACATACAAACTTGTACACACAAACATGGAAAAATGCACACACATGCACATACACACAAATACATGTACAAATACATACATCCATATGCACACACAAATGTGTACACACAAACACACAAATGCACACACATGCATATGCACAACAAACTTGTACAAACACACACAAATGTACATACACACACACGACAAACTCGTACACACAAATGCCCTCACATGCATATGCACAAACTCTTACACGCATGCATAAATGCATGCATACGCACACATGAGCCTGTGCGTTCAAACACATGCATACATGTGCAGACATACACACGTGCGTGCATGCACACATCCGCATATACACATGCACATGCGCACACACACATAGGCACACGCACACACCTGGGACGAGGATAGGGATGGGACAGCCGCCATCCTGGGTGGGGACCTGTTCTGAGACCAAGACATCCAATTTCTGTAGCCAAAGCCCTTGCTTACGGAGACACAAATTGCTGCCGGGATGGGAGGTCCAGCAAACCCCCGGAGGAGAATCATGCTGATAGGAGGGTCCCCATCGGGGTGGATCACGTCAGGCGCAGTGTGATGGTTGAGGTAAGGCGATGTCCTCATCTCTGGTGCTTGGCCAGGGCCTCATTTCTTCAGCCATGAAGCTGGGGCCAGCTGGAGTGTGTGGTCTGAGGCTGAGCCAGGGCCTGGGCAGCCTTCACGGGTTGTGCTCGAGAGCTCAGGGTGCCTGGATTTTGGGGTACTTCCTCGTTGGAGGATCATGGTGGTCCGATACCTCCCTAAAGTGCAGAGTGGGCTTTGGTGAAGCAGCCTGGGGCTCTTGAAGGGCTGTAGCAGGTACCCCCTGACCCCTGGGTGAACTATTCAGGAAGACCGTGTCCCTCATCTCATGCTTGTCATAGGCATTTGTCATTAGTGAGCACCATGACTCAGCATTTGGGGCATTGTCCTTGGATGGCCTATGTAGGAAGGACACAGAGCTGCAGGGGGCAGGGGCAGGCGCCAGGATCTCACAGACCCCCTGGCTGTGAATCCAGGATCGGCCACTTACCCATCATCTTGGGAAGCATCCTGGCTTTCCAGCCCCGCTCTGCAAGACAAGAGGGGCTCACCTTCATAAAACGGGGTAGGAGACCAGAGACGACACACACAGATGTCTCAAGGCTGGGCATGCAGTAGCCACCATGCCTCATCTTTTCTTGGCTGCTTGGACACATCAGAGCCCTACTGAGGCTCCGTTTGGTGCTGCACCAACAGCAGCCCCTAAAAGCAGCCCCAAGGGTGTTACATTCCCCAGAGGTCCAGCTGCAAACAGCTGCTCTCCCTCCCTGCTGGGATCCTGCTGGCCCTGAACACAAGTGGCTTCTGTTAGCACCAGGAGTCACGTGCCCACTGGGCAGAACTCCGGAGCGGTGACAGTGGACAGGTCACCGCTGTGGTGTCGTTGATGCGATGTGATGGATTCCTCGGGGACAAGAGCGCTGTCAGGTGGGGACCGAGATCTCTGTGAGCCGGCAGGATGGGATGGTCCTGATGGGGAAATGCAGAGACCCCTGGTCACCCTTTGCCCAGCCAGGGCATCCTCCCTGGGCCACAGCCTGCCCTCCTCAGGTCCAAGAAGGAGGCAGTGAGCCCCTCTGAGCTGCAGAACCTGGAGGCCTGGCGTTTTTGCCTCCTCCCCTTGCGGAAGGGGTTTCTCAATGCGTACAGAGGGACTCTTGAGGGTCTCCTTCCCCGGAGCCTTTCCTCCCATCCACGCCGCAGAATGATCTCCGCACCTGCAGTATCCACTTGTCCAGCTTTCTGCAGGCAGCTCTGGGGAAAGATATAGGCATCAGAAGACTTGAAATGTTGATGCAAAAGATGAAGCTACAATTAGAAAAGCAATTTATGAAACAAGAGGCACCAGGATGTGTGGCTTGATAAAGCAGCAAAATGCTCCTCCTGCCTCCTCCACTGGAGGGCTGTGGGTGCCACTGACTGAGCTGGACTTAGGAGCAAGAAGCTGGATAGGATGCATGGGCCGGTGGGGAAGCATCACCTGTGCATGGCCCATCATGGGTGCTGTACCAGGGTGGGGATGGCTTGGCAGGTGCAGGCAGTACGGACACCACCCTGCCTTGCTCCCCTGCTGGCCTGCAAGGGGAGTGCGATCCTCTATGTCTGCTGGGAGGCTGAGAACTTTCAGTCATCTCCACATAAATTTCACTACAGTGAAATTCCAAGGAGCAAAGAGGAGGCAGGAATAATTCGGGCCTCACTGGAGTGATACGAGGCTTGGCCAGCCAGGGAGTGGGCTCTGGAGTGACAGCCCCAGATTCGAATGGAACCGCTGGATGGTTAAATGATAGTGTCAGTGGAAAGCCTCTCATGGTGTCTGGCCTGTCTACTAAAGACCCATGTGCTGTTGTCACACAGGCATTTATAACAGTCAGCTGGGAAATCCCATACCAAAGTCAGGGATACACTTTCTATTTTAGGAAATGTCCATCAGTTGATGAATTAGAGAAATGAATGTGGGTCGATGAAATGCAATTCCTCAATGCAATAGAATATTATTCAACTGTGAAATGGAGTGAAGGGCCAGGTTGTGGTGGCTCACACCTGTAATCCTCGTGCTTTGAGAGGCTGAGGGAGGAGGATGGCTTGAAGCCAGGAGTTGGAGGCTGCAGTGAGCTATGATTACGCCACTATACTCCAGCCTGGAAAACAGAGCCAGACCTTGTCTGAATGAATGAATGAATGAATGAATGAATGAATGAATGAATGAATAAATAAATAATTAATAAATAAAATGAAGCACTGATCCATGCTACAACGTGGATAAATCTAGAAAACGTGATACTGAGTGAAAGAAGACAGACACAGGCCAGGCACAGTGGCTCACACCTGTAATCCCAGCACTTTGGGAGGTCAAGGTGGGCGGATCATCTAAAGTCAGGAGTTCGAGACCAGCCTGGGCAACATGGCAAAACCCTGTCCCTACTAAAAATGCAAAAATTAGCTGGGCATGGTGGCACACACCTGTAGTCCCAGCTCCTCAGGAGGCTGAGGAGGGAGGATTGCTTGAGTCCAGGAGGTGGGGATTGCAGTGAGCAACAGAGGGATTCTCGAGACACTGCACTCTAGCCTGGGCGACGGAGCCAGACCCTGTCTCAAAAAAAAAAACAAACAAACAAAAAAAAGTCAAACACAAAAGGCCACATGGTGTACGATTCCATTTATATGAAATGCCCAGAACAGGCAAATCCAGAGAGGCCGAAAGGAGTGAAGCACAGATCTGTGCTACAAGGTTGCAGAAAAGCCCAGCCAGAGCTAGTATTTGTGGCATCATGTAAGCTCCATGTTCTGATATCAGACCCTGAGCCAGAATGGGCATAGAGGCAAAGGAGATTGGAACCGGGATGGACAAGTGCAGCCCGAGATGGGCTAACACTCAAGAAGCAAACCCAAGCTATGGCAGAGGGGCAGAGTGGAAGAGATGGGCAACATTGAGGAAGTCGGCTCTGGGGTCCTCTGTGAGCTGAGTCAGCAGAGGTTTCTTGGGACCCAGCAACCGTGAGGAGCCCCTGAATTTGTGCCCAGGGCCCCAGCCCATGGTCATCCAGAGGCACAGTGCATTATTGTTGTATCAGTTGGTTCTTACATTGCTATAAAGAAATACCTGAGACTGGGTTATTTATTGATTAATTTGTTTATATTATTATTGGTTTTTGAGATGGAGTCTCACTCTATCACCCAGGCTGGAGTGTACTGGCGCAATCCCAGCTCACTGCAACCTCCACCTCCCAGGTGCAAATGATTCTTCTGCCTCAGCCTCCTGAGTAGTTGGGACTACAGGCGTGCACCACCACACCCGGCTAATTTTTATATTTTTAGTAGAGACGGGGTTTCACCATGTTGGCCAGGCTGGTCTTGAACTCCTGACCTCAGGTGACCTGCCTGCCTCTGTCTCCCAAAGTGCTGGGATTACAGGCATGAGCCACTGTGCCCGGCCATGACTGGATAATTAGTAAAGAAAAGAGGTTTAATTGGCTCACAGTTCTGTAGGCTGTACAGGAAGCATGGTTGGGGAGGCCTCGGGAAACTTACAATCATGGCAGGAGGTGAAGGGGAAGCAGGTGTGTCTTCCATGGCTAGAGCAGGAGGAGGAGGGAAGGGGGAGGTGCTTCACAGTTTTGTTGCTGTTGTTCTTGTTGTTGTTGTTTTGAGGTGAATTCTCGCTCTGTTGCCAGGCTGGAGTGCAGTGGCACGATCTTAGCTCATTGCAACCTCTGCCTGCCTGGTTCAAACGATTCTCCTGCCTCAGCCTCCCGAATAGCTGGGATTACAGGCACCCGCCTCCACGCCCAGATAATTTTTATATTTTTAGTAGAGATGGGGTTTCACCATGTTGGCCAGGATGGTCTCGATCTCTTGACTTCGTGATCTGCTTACCTCGGCCTCCCAAAGTGCTGGGATTACAGTTGTGAGCCACTGTGCCTGGCCGCTTCACAGTTTTAAACAACCAGATCTCATGAGAACTCACTCATTATCACGAGAACAGCAAGGGGGAAATCTACCCCCCTGATCCAATCACCTTCCACCAGGCCCCTCTTCCAATCTTGAGGATTACAATTCAACATGAAATTTGGGCGGGGACACAAATCCAAACCGTATCACTCGCCACCAGCAGAATGGATCTGGTTCTGTCTCTGTGGATTTGCCTATTGGACATTTTGTATCAGTGGAATCATACAGCATGTAGCCTTTTGCCTCTGGCTTTTCTCACTCAGTACAATGTGTTTAGGGTTCATCCACAGTGCAGCATGGATCCGTGCTTGCTTCTGTGGCTCAATCATATTCCATTGGATGGATGGACCACATTTTCTTTATCCGTTCACCTATGGTGGACATTTGGGTTATGCACAGTTTTTAGGATTATACAGCTGTTAAAAATCTACCGTGAGGTCAGGCACAGTGGCTCATGCTTATAATCTCAGCACTTTGGGAGGCCGAGGCAGGAGGATCGCCTGAGGCCAGGAGTTTGAGACCAGCCTGGTCAACATGGTGAAACTCTGTCTCTACTAAACTATACAAAAAATTAGCCAGGCGTGGTGGTGGGCGCCTGTAATCCCAGCTACTCAGGAGGCTAAGGCAGGAGAATTGCTTGAACCTGGGAGGCGGAGGTTGCAGTGAGCCGAGATTGCACCACTGGACTCCAGTCTGGGTGACAGAGTGAGACTCCATCTCAAAAAAAAAAAAAAAAAAGAAAAGAAAGAAGCCACCGTGGGTTACAATGGCCTGGCCCTGCCCATTGCTCCCAATCCCTTTCCCAACAAGTGGCCAGGCTGGTAGACAGGGGGTTACTGAGGCCCAAGTAATGCTTCTGGGGCTTTCCCTGGTGCCCCCTAGCTTAGCAAATGACCCGTGGGTTCCACATCGGGCCTAGCAGGTGTGAGATGAAATCCTGGCAGGTAGATGGCTCGGTGTAGCCTGAGATGGTGTCCTCAGCCTCTCAGCACCAACCTTGAGAAGTTTACTAGGAAGTGGATGTGAGTGGGGACAAGCGTCTCCTAGACTCATCAGTATAGACACATGACAATTTCAAGGAGAGCTTTGGAATGAAAGTAGGCAAGGATGAGAAAATATAACAAGAACTGACAGTCAGTAGCACTGAGAAGACTCCAAAACCCCTAAGCATGATAACCCCATCACAGTGTGAGGTTGGGGGTCCTTACCCCCAACTTAGAGATGATGAAATGGGAGCCCAAAAGGTTGAGTGAGTGGCCCTAAGCCAGTCAGCAGGAATGGTTATATTAGGATTCACCAGAGAAACAGAAGTCCCCCCACCCCACACATACATAGAATGAGATTTGTTATACACACACACTCACACACATACATCTGTAGTACAGGTTTATCATAAGGTACTGGCTCATGCACTTACGGAAGCCGAGAAGTTTACAAGCTGTCCTCTGCAAGATAGAGACCCAGGAGGCCAGGCGTGGTGGCTCACGCCTGTAATCCTAGCACTTTGGGAGGCCGAGGCAGGCTGATCACCTGAGGTCAGGAGTTTTGAGACTAGCCTAGCCAACATGGTGAAACCCTGTCTCTACTAAAAATAAAAAAATTAGCTGGGCCTGGTGTTGGGTTCCTGTAATCCCTGCTATTTGGGAGGCTGAGGCAGGAGGATCACTTGAACTCAGGAGGCGGAGGTTGCAGTGAACCGAGATCACACCTTTGCACTCCAGCCTGGGCAACAGAGTGAGACTCCATCTAAGAAAACAGAACAAAACAAACAAAAAACAAAACAAAACAACAACAAAGAAAACAAACAAACAAAAACAAGCTAGAGACCCAGGAAAGCCAGTGGTGTAGCTAGAAGTTCTGAGAGCTGGAGAACCAATGGTGTAGATTCCAGCCCAGGTCTGAAGGCCTGGGAACCAGTAGCAGGAGAAGATCGATGTCCCAGCTCAAGCACTTGGGCAGAGAGTGGAACCAATCTTCCTCTGTCTTGTTCTATCAGGAGGAGCTCAACAGCTTGGATGGTGCCCACTTACATTGGAGAGGGCCGTGTGCCCTACTCAGTCCTCCAACACCAATGCTGATCTCTTGTGGAAGCACTTCCTGGGCAAGCCCAGATAGATTGTTTAACCAGCTATCTGGGCATCCTGGAGCCCAGTCCAGTTGACACCTAGAATTGACTATCCTAGGTTGGGCATGGTGGCTCCTACCTGTAATCCCAGCACTTTGGGAGGCCGAGGCAAGTGGATTGCTTGAGGTCAGGAGTTCAAGACTAGCCTGGCCAACTTGGCAAAATCCCGTCTCCACTAAAAATATAAAAAATTAGCCTGGCGTGGTAGCATGTGCCTGTAGTCCCAGCTACCTGGGAGGCTGAGGCATGAGAATTGCTTAAACCCAGGAGGCGGAGGTTTCAATGAAATGAGACCATACCACTGCACTCCAGCCTGGGCAACAGAGTGAGACACTGTCTCTAAATAAATAAATAAATAAATAAATAAATAAATAAATAAAATTGACCATCCTAATGGGGAAAGGAACTGCCAGGCCACCTGGCTGCAGCTGCCGCATGTTAACCCTTTGAGGTCTGATCCAAGGGCCCCCACAGGGGCCATGTTGGTCAGACCAAGCCCTGCAAGGTGTAGGGGGTTAAATTCTGGGCATCCCTTTTTAAGAGACTGAGACAGCTGCCTTCTAGTATTTGGGGTCATCCATAGAAGAAGCAGAAGTGAGGACCCAGCTGGAAGAGACAGGAGACAGGAGATGTGGTGGACAGACAGTGGGACCGAGCCCCGTCCTTGGCAGATGGAGGAGCCCCTCTCACCGTGCTCATGGATGTCAAATGAGGCCTCAGAACCTGGCCTCATTTGTCCTCATCATGTCCCCTGCCCAGAGGGAGATGGGAGGACGGGGGTGGCTGGGAAGGTAGGGGTGTGAACCCCATGACAAGTTTAGAAGCAGTTGGTGAGTTTCTTTTGGCCAGCAAGGGGGAGCAGCCTCAGTTTCCCCATTGGAGCCTGGGAAGTGGGTGGCCCTGTCCTGCTCCACGCACCTGTGATCTTGGTGTGACCGTGCTGATACCACGTAAACCCTGGAAGCACAATTACGTGCCCTGGACTTGAAGTCATTAGTGTGGGAGAGCCAGCTGCTCTGCTGAGCTGACCGTCCGCCTCACTGCCCCGGCACTCAGTTCTTCTTGTTTCTTTGTTTCAGGCCGAAGGAGTTCCCCGGGCGTACACCTACAGCGCATTCTTCTGTCCCAGTGGTGAGTCCCCCGTGCCCATCCTGCTAAGGTGTGGCCAGCTGGCTGGGTCAGGACTTTGGCCTTCCTCATTTCCCACACTGTGGGGGCTGTCCCACTGCAAAGTGAGTACCTGCCCTTCCCGGGGGAAGGGGGCACTGTGGTTTAGGAAGAGCGATGTCCCAGCTAGGGACAGGCAGAGCCAGTGAGGGTGGGGCATCCACCACGCAGAGAATGAATACACAGGAATGTGCACCGCAGGTACCAAGCAAAGTTAGGCTGGCCGGGCGCGGTGGCTCATGCCTGTAATCCCAGAACTTTGGGAGGCTGAGGAAGGTGGATCATTTGAAATCAGGAGTTTGAGACCAGCCTGGCCAACACGATGAAACTTATCAATACTAAAAGTACAAAGTTGGCTGGGTGATGGCTCACGCCTGTAATCCCAGCACTTTGGGAGGCTGAGGCAGGTGGATTACGAGGTCAGGAGTTTGAGACCAGCCTGACCAACATGGGGAAACCCTGTCTCTACTAAAAATACAAAAAATTAGCTGGGCATGGTGACGCGCACCTGTAATCCCAGCTGCTCAGGAGGCTGAGGCAGGAGAATCACTTGAACCTGGGAGGCAGAGGTTGCAGTGAGCCAAGATCACGCCATTGCACTCCAGCATGGGTGACAGAGTGAGACTCCGTTTCAAAAAAAAAAAAAAGTACGAAGTTAGCCAGGTGTGATTGTGTGTGCCTGTAATCTCAGCTGCTTGGGAGGTTGAATCAAGAGAATCTCTTGAACCCAAGAGGTGGAGGTTGCAGTGAGCTGAGATTGTGTCGCAGCATTCCAGCCTGGGTGACAGAGTGAGACTCCGTCTCAAAACAACGACAACAACAATAACACACGAGCCTGGACCTAAAGATCACACCTTACACAAGAATGAACCCAAAATGGATCATGGACTTACATGTAAAGCTCTAGTGCTTTTGGAAAAAAACATGACAACCTGGGCAACATGGCGAAATCCCATCTCTACAAAAAATTAAACAAACAAACAAACAAACAAAAACTTAGCCATATGTGGTGGTGCACACCTGTAGTCCCAGCTACTTGGGAGGTGGAAGTGGGAGGATTGCTTGAGCCCAGGAGGTGGAGGTTGCAGTGAGCCTTTCTTGTACCTCTGCACTCCAGCCTGGTTGACAGAGAGATACTCTGTCTCAAAAAAAGAAGTAAGGAAGGGAGGGAGGGAGGGAGACAAGGAAGAAGGAAGGAAGGAAGGAAGGAAGGAAGGAAGGAAGGAAGGAAGGAAGGAAGGAAGGATGGAAGGAAGGAAGGAAGGAGAAAAGAAAGAGGAAGGGAAGGGAAGGAAAGGAAAGGAAGGAAAAAAGAAGGAAGGAAGGGAGGAGAGAAGGAAGGAAGGAAGGAAGGAAGGAAAGAAGGAAGAAAAGAAGGAAAAAAAGATCTTGACTCACTGCAACCTCCATCTCCTGGGTTCAAGTGATTCTCCCGTCTCAGCCTCCTGACTAGCTGGGATTACAGGCACCTACCACCACGCCTGACTAATTTTTGTCTTTTTAGTAGAGACAGAGTTTCACCGTGTGGGTCAGGCTGGTCTCAAACTCCTGATCTCAGGTGGTCCACCTGCCTCAGCCTCCCAAAATGCTGGATTCTTTACCAAAGTTGAGCTCTCCTAGGTCCTTTGCATCTCTGTATAAATTTTGGAATCCATTTAGCAATTTCTCCAAAAGAGCCTCCTGGGATTTTGATTGGGATTGCTTTGAATCTGTAGAACCATCTGGGGAAGAACTCACATGTTCATGATAGTCCATGAACATGGTCTAGCTTTCGTTGATTTGGGTTTTCTTTTCTTCCTCTCCTCAGCCTTTTCAATTTTCAGCACCTTGCTCATCTTTGGTCAGATTTATCCCTGAGCATCTTATCTTTTTGTTTCTTTTAGAGAGGATCTTGCTTTAGAGAGAGTCTTGCTTGTTTTTAGAGAGAGAGTAACCCAGGTTGGAATGCAATGGTGTGATCATGGCTCACTGCAGCCTTGAACTCCTGGGCTCAAGCAATCCTCCTGCCTTGGCCTCCCAAGTAGCTGGGATGACAGATACATGCCACTGCTAATTTAAAAACATTTTTGTAGAGATAGGAGTCTTGCTGTGTTTCCCAGGCTGGTCTCGAACTCCTGGCCTCAAGCAATCTTCCTGCCTCAGCCTCCTAAAGTGCTGGGATTACAGGTGTGAGCCACTCTGCCCAGTCCCATTTTATCTTTTGTGTGCCATTGCCAATGCCATTGTTAGGCCAACACCATTCCACCATGTGTGCTGAGTCACAGTGAGACCCACTCCTTGTGGTCCTGGTGCTCACCTCCAGGTACCATGAGGGAAAGTGGGATGCCTCCAGGTGCCCTCTCAACTCCCCATCTCCTTTCCTCCATCCAGAGAGAGTCCACATCTCCACCCCCAACAAGTATGAGTTCCAGTATGTGCAACGGCCACTGCACCTCACCCGCTTTGATGTGGCTGTGCGAGCTCACAATGATGCCCGTGTGGCCTTGTCTTCTGGGCCCCAGGACACAGCAGGCATGATCGAGATCGTCCTGGGGGGTCATCAGAACACCAGGTCATGGATCTCCACCAGCAAGATGGGAGAGCCCGTGGCCAGTGCACACACGGCCAAGATCCTCTCCTGGGATGAATTCAGAACATTCTGGATCAGCTGGCATGGTGGCCGTATCCAGGTATACAGCAGGACTCCCTGGGGCTTGTGCAGAAACCTCATGTTCCTCCAGTATTAGCTACTTCCTGTTCTGTGCCAGGCTCAGATGGGGGGTCGGGAGAAGCAAGGGAAACACAGGGCACCACCTCAAGTTGTTCTCAGTCTAGAGTCGCTTACCAAAAAAACATGTAGCAAGAGCTGTGGCAGAGGAAGCACCCAGGGATCTGGGAGCAAAGAGAGGAGGCAGGTGGTCAGGGAGAAAAGAAGAATGGACATGAGCAAGTGAAATGGGGGTTAGGGTGTGTTTTCTGGGCCAAGCAAAAAAGATATAGAAGCTAACACAGCTTCCTAACAGAGGAAGCTAATACAGCTTCCTAGAGGAAGAACATAACCAAAGTAGGTTTTGAAGTATGAATAGGAGTTTGCTAGGCAAAATGGGAGTAGAGTGTGTTCTCCAGGCAGAGCAATAACACGTGCAAAGGTCCAGAGGTTCCAAGGAGCCCAGTGACTTCAGAACCTGCAGATGTCATGCCTTATGTTTCTGTCGGCTGTTTATCAGATGGAGTAACCTCTGGTTTTTCTCACCTCTGATTCCCCAAAGACCCTTCCTTGCACCGTGAGTGTGGCTAAGGCCTCTGACCCTGGCCACAAAGTTGGTGTCACTGCCACCTGAGTGCCTACTGCCTGCTTCCCGCCAGTGTCCAGCAGCCTTGGTTTCTTTTTCCAGGTTGGCCATGGTCCAGAGCCGTCCAACGAGTCTGTCATTGTGGCCTGGACCCTCCCGAGGCCACCAGAGGTCCAGTTCATTGGCTTTTCCACTGGCTGGGGCTCCATGGGTGAATTCCGAATCTGGAGGAAGATGGAGGTGGATGAGAGCTACAGCGAGGCCTTCACCCTGGGGGTCCCACATGGTGCCATCCCTGGGTCTGAGCGGGCCGCCGCCTCCATCATCGGTGCGTCTGTCCCACAGCCTGGCTTGGGGAGGTCAAGTGGCAAGAGCCAAGGTTGAGACTCTAGGCTTAGTCTCAAGCTGGGCTTTGCTGGGGACCTGTGTCCTGGGGTGTCCACCCATACACCCACTCACCTGACAAGCAGCTTCCAGTGCCTTCTCTATGCCCATCCATGTGCTGGGCATTGAGGCAGCCCAAGAGCTGACCCCAACCCCACCCTTGAGGGACTCCTAGTCCAGGTGAGATGGCAGATCCAGAGCCCCCCTAGTCTAAACCTTATGCAGAAGTCAGGGTGGGGTGACCCCTAAGAACCTGCAGTGAGCCCTGTGAGGGCAGTGGGCCAAGGACAAGCTCCAAGAAAACACAAATGCCTGAGGAAGTCAGCCAGATGTGGAGTGCAGGATGGAGGCCTTGGGGGTCTTGGTGATGGGGCAGGCGTCTGGAGCAGTTGCCGAGTAGAGGTGAGAGGCTCTGACTAGGGACATAGGAAGCAGCCTTAGGGGGTCTGTAGGGTTGGGATGTGTATTACTCTGTTTTCATGCTGCTGATAAAGACATACCCAAGACTGGGTAATTTATAAAGAAAAAGAGGTTTAATTGACTTTCAGTTTCACATGGCTGGGGAGGCCTCACAATCATGGCGGAAGGCGAAATGCACATCTTACATGGCCAGAGGGAGAATGAGAGAATGAGAACCAAGTGAAAGGGGTTTCCCCTTATAAAACCATCAGATCTCGTGAGACTTCTTCACTACCACGAGAACAGTATGGGAAAACCGTCCCCATAATTCAATTAGCTCCCACCAGGTCCCTCCCACAACACGTGTGAATTATGGGAGCTACAATTCAAGATGAGATTTGGTTGGCGACACAGCCAAACCATATCAGGATGCCTCTAGTAGCCCAGGTGCTGGAGGGGAAAGTGTGATTGTGTGATTGATCCAGTGCTGGGAGTCGGGCAGAAGGGTGGTGAGAGTTTGGGGTGGGCCTGAGCCAGGGAGGAGAGGGCGAGAGGCCAGAAGGAGATGGACGGGCCCAAATGAGGGTGTTGAGGCTCTCTCTGACATCAGAGGGCAGAGGCCCTGGTACCCAGGCAGGTAGGCGGTTGTGGCCAGATCAGAGGAATTTCGAGTTTACAATTCCTGAGGCACGAGAGCAAGTCAGAGTGGATGCAGGGCTGAGTGACTAAGATGGAATTGAGGGAGATAGGAGAAGAAGTAGAGAGGCAGGAATGGAGAGGAGGAGGTGACGGCTGGGATCCGTGCACCAGTGCCTTCAGTGACACAGCAGGTGGAGAAGAAGCTGAGTAGCCTAGAGCATGCTGATGAGAAAGTAGCCAGGCTGTTTGTGCAACAAGGGCAGGCTGCAGGGGCAATGGCAGCCTCAGCGAGACATGCAGAGATGCTAAAGAAGGAAAGAAGGGGCCAGGTGTGGTGGCTCACGCCTGTAATCCCAGCACTTTGGGAGGCCGAGGCGGGTGGATAACGAGGTCAAGAGGTTGAGACCATCCTGACCAACATGATGAAACCCCGTCTCTACTAAAAATACAAAAATTAGCTGGGCATGGTGGCACAAGCCTGTAACCCCAGCTACTCGGGAGGCTGAAGCAGGAGAGTTGCTTGAACCTGGGAGGCGGAGGTTGCAGTGAGCCAAGATCACGCCATTGCAGTCCAGCCTGGTGACAGAGCGAGATTCCATCTAAAAATAAAATAAAATAAAATAAAATAAAAAAGAGAAGGTGTGTTCAGGGGACATTGGGGGTCCCAGGGGGTCCATCAGCAATCTTTGAGACAAGGAAGCCAAGAAGAGGAATACAGAATGTCAAGGGGATGGGAGAACCAGAATTTTTTTTTTTTTTTTTTTTTTAGACGGAGTCTCGCGCTGTGTCACCCAGGCTGGAGTGCAGTGGCGCGATCTCGGCTCACTGCAAGCTCCGCCTCCCAGGTTCACGCCATTCTCCTGCCTCAGCCTCCGAGTAGCTGGGACTACAGGCGCCCGCCACCACGCCCGGCTAGTTTTTTGTATTTTTAGTAGAGACGGGGTTTCACCATGTTAGCCAGGATGGTCTCGATCTCCTGACCTCGTGATCCACCCGCCTCGGCCTCCCAAAGTGCTGGGATTACAGGCTTGAGCCACCGTGCCCGGCCCAGAAGTTTTTTTAAAGAGAGAAAACTTTCAAAAATGCACCTCCAACTCCATATATATAGAAACTTTTTTAAAAATTGAAGTGCTCTTGGTTAAAGAAAAAATCTGAATATTTTAGAAAGAATATTTTAGGGCCGGGCACAGTGGATCATGCCTGTAATCCTGGCACTTTGGGAGGCAGAGGCACGTGGATCACCTGAGGTCAGGAGTTTGAGACCAACCTGGCCAACATGATGAAACCCTGTCTCTACTAAAAAAAAAAAAAAAAATTAGCCGGGTGTGGTGGCACATGCCTGTAGTCCCAGCTACTCAGGAGGCTGAGGCAGGAGAGTTGCTTGAACCTGAGAGGCGGAGGTTGCAGTGAGCTGAGGTTGTGCCACTGCATTCCAGCCTGGGTGACATAGTGAGACTCCATCTCAAAAAAAAAAAAAAAAAAAAAAAAGGAATATTTTAGGAAGACTATTTAGAATGGAATGAGAATGATTGTATAGACATACTGATATTTGTGGGATGCAGCCAAAGTTGTACTTAGAGACCAATGTATAGCCTTCAATGCACCCATTTTAAAAGCCAGCGAGGGAAAAAGCACTGAACAGAATGAAAAGCTAGAGAAAGAAAGCCTAAGTTAAAACTAAAGAACACAGAAGAAGGTGTGTAAAATTGTCACCAAAGCCAGTACACCAGCTGGTCTGAGCAGGCAGAGGGTGTCAGTCCCAAAGGGCAGTTGGGTGGCTGACTGGGTGACACACGCAGTCTCCCATCCTTGGGTAAAGCTGTCCCTGTTCTCTACTGAGCTGGGACAGCCCCCAACTCAACTCTCTTCTCCTTCCCACCAGGGGACGTCATGGGGCCAACCCTGAACCACCTCAACAACCTCCTGCGGCTGCCCTTTGGCTGTGGAGAGCAGAACATGATCCACTTTGCTCCCAACATCTTTGTCTTGAAGTATCTTCAGAAAACCCAGCAGCTCAGCCCTGAGGTGGAGAGAGAGACCACCGACTACCTAGTACAAGGTATTGGGGAAAAACTGCCTGGTCGAGGTGGGAGCAGGGGAGTCGGGTTCAGCCTTCAGTGGAGAAGACCACGCTGGAGGCGACCCACACACCAGGCACAGTGATGAGGAGGAAGTGGGCAAAAGAGGCCATTCAGGGTGGCCCTGATCTGGTGACTGTCAGCAGGAGCCTGAAGTCTCTGGCTGTTAGGATGAGATTCTGAATGAATGGTGCTGTTCAGATACAGGAACAGCATCTTTTTAAAGTGTAGATTTTTTTTTTTTTACAACAAGAATATAACAGCATTATTAAAAATAACATTGGCCGGGCGCGGTGGCTCAAGCCTGTAATCCCAGCACTTTGGGAGGCCGAGACGGGTGGATCACGAGGTCAGGAGATCGAGACCATCCTGGCGAACACGGTGAAACCCCGTCTCTACTAAAAAAATACAAAAAACTAGCCGGGCGAGGTGGCGGGCGCCTGTAGTCCCAGCTACACAGGAGGCTGAGGCAGGAGAATGGCGTAAACCCGGGAGGCGGAGCTTGCAGTGAGCTGAGATCCGGCCACTGCGCTCCAGCCCCGGCGACAGAGCGAGACTCCGTCTCAAAAAAAAAAAAAATAATAATAATAATAACATTTAGAAAAGAAAAAAGAAGGCCAGGCACAGTGGCTGATGCCTGTAATCCCAACACTTTGGGAGGCCGAGGCAGGAGGATCACTTGAGCCCAGGAATTTGAGACCAGGCTGGGCAACAAAGCAAGACCCCGGTCTCTACAAAAAATAAAAACATATTAGCCAGACATGGTGGCATGCACCTGTAGTCCCAGCTGCTCAGGAGGCTGAGGCAGGAGGATTGCTTGAGCCCAGGAGTTGGAGGCTGCAGTGAACTGTGATTGTGCCACTGCACTCCAGCTAGAGTGACCGAGTGAGACCCCAACTGTAAAAAATAAGAAAGAAGAAAGAAGAACAGTCAGGGGTTGCTCCAGGCTGAAAGTCTGGCATCATGAAGGCTGATCATGGACAGCTAGGAAGACCGAGTCCACTGAGGCCAGGTCCTGGGGGCTCAGATTAGCAGCTCTTGGGAGAGTCTGGGAAGTGGGTGGACCCAGGGCCAGGTACACCGTGGTGGATCCATCCAAGCTCAGGTCCTTAAACACCACCCAGAGTCGAATGAGCCCTCCTCGTGAATAACAGCCTGTACCTCCACAGGACAACCAGACCCTGTGTGCATCCAGCCAACTCGCAGTCCAGACTTGACAAATCCCAAATCAACACCCTCCATCTTCCCCCCAAACCCACTTGTGTTCGTTTCCTAAAACTGCCACAATAAAATGCCACAAACTGGGTGACTTAGAACGACAGAAATGTGTCATCTCCTTATAGTTGTGGAGCCCAAAAGTCCAAAATAAAGGTGTCCGCAGAGCTGGTTCCTTCTGGTGGCTCTGAGGGAGACTCTGTCCCAGGCCTCTCTACTGGCATCTGCTGGCTCCAGGTGTTCCTTGGCTTATAGACCGATCAGCCTGCTCTGTGCTTCCACAATCGCATGGCTGTCACGTCTGTGACTAATTCCCTTTCTTTTCTTTTCTTTCTTTCTTTTCCTTTTCTTTTTCTTTTTCTTTTTTTTTTTTTAGAGCCAGGGTCTTGCTCTGTCACCCAGGCTGGAGTGCAGTGGTGCAATCATAGCTCACTGCATACTTGAACTCCTGGGCTCAAGCCAGCCTCCCATCTCAGCCTCCTGAGTAGCTGGGACTACAGGTGTGCACCACCATGCTCAGCCAATTCTTTGTAAAGATGGGGTTCCACTGTGTTGTCCAGGCTGGTCTTGAACTCCCGGCCTCAAGTGATCCTCTCACCTCGGCCTCTCAAAGTGCTGGGATTCCAGGTGCAAGCCACGGCGCTCAGCCTCTCTTTTCAAGGACAAGGACACCTGTCATTGGATTTAGGGCCTACCATAAATAAATCCAAGATGCTCTCATCTGGAGATCCGAACCTTAATGATATCTGTTAAGATCTTTATTTCCAGTAAAGTCCCATTTTTGGGTTCTGAGTGGATGTGAATTTGGGAGGACCCACCCCATACAGAATGCCTTTTGTCACCTGTCCTGTCTCTGTGGACACAGCCCTGTCCTTCCTGAGGCTCAGGCCACACAGCGTGGTGCCCTCAGATTTGTGCTTCTTTCCCTCACAGCCCGTGTCTGGCTGAGTAGCTCTGCCTTCACCCCAGGAAGGCTCCCCACCTCTGTCGCCACCACTGGGTCCAAACTCATCATTGCGCACTTGGAGGGCCCCCGTCCCCAGCTTTCTGTCCAGACCCTATGGTCCACTGGCTCTATATGTCACCCCCAGATGTGGTGTGGAGCAGTTTCGGGGACTCCAGATGTGGTATGAGACAGTTTCAAGAACCCCAGATGTGGTGTGGGTCACTTTCAGGGACCCCAGATGTGACATGGGGCAGTTTCAGTGAGCCCAGTTTCAAGAACCCCACATGTGGTATGGGGGAGTTTCAGGGACCCCAGATGTGGGTGTATGGCAGTTTCAAGGACTCCAGATGTGATTCGAGGCAATTCCAGGGACCCCACATGTGGTGTGGCTTCGGAGGTCCGGGGTGGGGGGTGGCAGAACGGTGTAGGTCCCCGGGGTGGGCCTGGGCCAGGCCACTCAACAGGACAGGGTCCTCTGTGCTTGCCCCGCAGGCTACCAGCGCCAGCTGACCTACAAGCGCCAGGATGGCTCCTACAGCGCGTTTGGGGAGCGGGACGCATCGGGGAGCATGTGGTGAGTCCCCACTGCCCTGGGCACGGCCTCTGAGGCTCCCCGCCTGATGCCACGGCCTCACATCCAATGCAGTGTGGCCAGATCACTTGGCGCCTGATCCCCGGATGACAGGGAACACAGCTGGGAAGTAAAGACTGTGGTGGTCCCAGCTCCAGAGACGAAGGCTGGGGCTTGGGGCCAGTGCAGAGCTGGTGATTGTAACTGTTCCTCTTTCTGCTGTTGTTACCACGGTGAGCAGGACCCCATGCCCTGCTCTCTGGCCCCTTGGGAGTGAGCCCTGGATGCCCTGGGCTTCCTCAAGCTCCCAGGACCCAGGAATAGCAGTGACTAGAGCAGGAGGAGATGGCAGGGCAAAGGGGTCAGAAGCCAGACCAGTGCCTCGAGGCTGGCGTGTGCTGTCTGCAGGAGAAGGCTGGGATCTTGTTTCTGTGGTAACTGCAGGAAGGTGATCAGGGCAGGGAGAGTCCCTAGGAGGCCGGGCACACCTGGATCTTGTTTTCCTGGGATCCTCAGGCTACTGCAGTTCTTGGCATCATCATGGGGTTCACCTGAGACTGTGGGTGACCTTCCAACTTCTGTGCCCATCACCAGACGACTCCTCGGAGATTGCCACCCTGGTAGTGCCGACAGCAGCTGTGAGCATGGAAACTGCCCTGTTTTTAGTCCAACGGCGTGTCCACTGCACAGTTGCAGTGCCAGAGCCCAGGGAGCTGGGACATGTGGCTGATTACTTCCTGCCATGGGCAGCATCACTTACCCAGCTCCAGAGGGGCCCAGGGTTGGTGACACACCCAGCATCCCCCAGCCCTAGCAGCTCATCCACACTGTCCCAGCTCTAGTCCCAGGGCCCTGCCTTGCTGACAACTGATAATGCAAGGCCCTGTGCAAGATGCAATAGTTATCCACTGCTGTGTAACAAGTGACCCCTAAATGTAGCCATTTAAAACAACAAATATGTATTATCTCTATTTATTATGTACTAATTCTTATGGAATTAAGGAGCAGCTTAGCTGGGTGTTTCTGCCTGGGGATGTTTGTTGGGGTTGCAGTCAAGGTGTTGGCTGTTGCTGCCTTCATCTGAAGGCTCAACTGGGGCTGGAAGATTTGTTTCCAAATTGACTCCCTCACATGGCTGTTGGCAGGAGGCCTCAGTTGCTCACCATGTGGACTTCTCCATAGGGGCTACTTGAGTGTTCTTACAACATGGCGGCCAGCTTCCTCTCACAGTGAGCAATTCAAGAGAGAAAGGGAGAAGGATGCCACAGTGCCTTTTGTTACTTGGTCTTACAAGTCAGGCTGTCACTTCTGCCTCATTCTATTCTATTCCTTTTTTTTGTTTGTTTTCTTTTTTTGAGATGGAGTCTCACCCTATCACCCAAGCTGGAGTTCGGTGGTACAGTCTCAGCTCACTCCAACCTCCACCTCCTAGGTTCAAGCAATTCTCCTGCCTCAGCCTCCTGAGTAGCTGGGATTATAGGCACCTGCCACCACACCTAGCTAATTTTTATATTTTTAATAGAGACAGGGTTTCACCATGTTGCCCAGACTGGTCTCGAACTTCTGACCTCAGGTGATCTGCCCACCTCAGCCTCCCAAAGTGCTGGGACTACAGGTGTGAGCCACTGTGCCTGGCCCACATTCTATTCTTTAGTAGTGAGTTGCTAAGTACACCCCATCTACACATGAAGAGATTCGGGCCTCCATCTCTTGAAAGGAGGAGTATTAAGGCATTTGTGGATATACATTAAAATGACTATAATAGGTGTATAATTTTGTATCTATAAAACAAAGAAGTAGAGAGTGATGGAGCAGGGTAGTTATATGGGATGGTCAGGAAAGGTCTCCTGGAGGATATTAGGGAGGAGCCATGAAAATCCAAGGGAACAGCATTCCAGGCAGAGGGAACAGCCATTGCAAAGGCCCTGAGGCAGGACCCAGCTTGACGAGATTGGGCCACAGAAGGGAGGCTGGTGTGGCTGGAGGAGCACAGGGCCAGGAGGTTGGTGACCTGGCACGAGGGAAGAGGGAAGGGCAAGGCCAGGTTGATCAGAGCAGGAGTCTGGATTTAGTGCTGTGTGGAACAGAATGCTGTTAGAGGGCTGGGAGCAGAGCAGGATCAAGATCTGTGTCTCCTGGTGGGCTGTGTGTGTGCACACATGTGTTGAATCACATTCAACATTTGGGATGGGTTGAGCATCCCAAGTCAGAAAATCCAAAGTTCAAACTACTCCAACATCCAAAACATTATTATTATTATTATTATTATTAGAGACAGAGTCTTGCCCTGTTGCCCGGGATGGAGTGCCGTGGCTCGATCTCAGCTCGCTGCAACCTCCGCCTTCTGGGTTCAAGCAATTCTTCCACCTCAGCCTCCCGAGTAGCTGAGATTACGGGCGCCCATCACCACGCCTATGTAATTTATGTATTTTTAGTAGAGACAAGGTTTTGCCATGTTGACCAGGATGTTCCTGAACTCCTGACCTCCAGTGATCCATCTGCTTTGGCCTCCCAAAGTGCTGGGATAACAGGTGTGAACCACTGTGCCTGGGCTTCAAGAAGCTTTTAGTGCCAACCTGATGCTCAAGGGAAACGTTCATTGGAGCATTTCAGATTTTTTGGATTTGGGATGCCCAAGTATACAGTATCTGTAAGTTCCACAGGATTCAATCAACCACAGATTGAAACTATTCAGAAAAAAAAAAAAAAAAGAGTCCGGGTGTGGTGGCTTGTGCCTGTCATCCCAGCACTTTGGGGAAGCTGAAGCGGGAAGATTCTTTGAGGCTGGGAGTCGGCAGCCAGCCTGGGAAACATGGCAAAACCTCATCTCTGCAAAAATGTTAAAAATGAGCTGGATGTGGTGGTACATGCCTTAGTCCCAACTACTGGGGAGGCTGAGGTAGGAGGATCGCTTGAGCCCAGAAGTTCAAGGCTGCAGTGAGCTATGATTGTGCCACTGCGCTCCAACCTGAGTGACAGAGCAAAACTCCATCTCTATTGTGGGAACTGGCCAGCAGTCCGCAATACAACGGTGCTTTCTCTTTGCTCCCAGGTTGATTGGCAGGTTGAGAAATAATAGCCACACACAAGGTAGTGAAAGCTGGGTCTGGGGGGGTCACCACCTTCTGGTCCCGCGGTGCCAACAATGCACTGGATATGCCAGCATTTATTATTAAATTTAGTGAGGGCGGAGGTAGGTTAGTGAGGGATTTAGGGTCATTTGATTATGAGGTGAGATGGTCACATGGGGATGAAGTAATTTCTTTTTTTTTTTTTTTTTTTTGAGACGGAGTCTCGCTCTGTCGCCCAGGCTGGAGTGCAGTGGCCAGATCTCAGCTCACTGCAAGCTCCGCCTCCCGGGTTCACGCCATTCTCCTGCCTCAGCCTCCCGAGTAGCTGGGACCACAGGCGCCGCCACCTCGTCCGGCTAATTTTTTGTGTTTTTAGTAGAGACGGGGTTTCGCCGTGTTAGACAGGATGGTCTCGATCTCCTGACCTTGTGATCCGCCCGTCTCGGCCTCCCAAAGTGCTGGGATTACAGGCTTGAGCCACCGCACCCGGCCGAAGTAATTCTTTAACATAACTTCTGTATGCAGAAGTACAGTGTACACAGATAAGAATTGACAATATAGTGTGTGCATCAGTAATTTCTAACAGAGCCTTAAAACAGGAACAGCAGAAACAGTTGCAGCAAAAGCTGGTTAAAAACAATTCACAAAAACAGGACGTGAAGTTAGACAACCGGTTAGACCAGAAATTCTCAGAAGGGAGTATGCCTTAACCCTAAAGAGGCCTAGAAGAGCTGCAGCAAGATGAGGGCGTTTATAGCCCTATCTTATCCATATGGACAGGCACCCCCCACCATGCATCCATTTATAGGCTCTCCACGAGGGTCGCATTCCATTCCCAGAGCTATGAACATCTGCTCTTCTGGGACAGGAATCTTGGTGATGTAAAACCCCCCTGACTGCACGTCCATTCATAGGCTCTCTGCAGGGGGAAGCACATCACGCACTGTTGGCTCATTCTGGCAGTCCAACCTGTCATTGTCTTTACACAGTCCTGCATGCAGTTTTGTATTTACAATAATCAGGAGCATTTCATCTTTTATTCTGTAGCAATAGTTTCAGGGGTTCTCCCTACATATCTCTTAAAAAAAAAAAAGTTTAAAAATTCCACAAAGTTCCAAAAACAAAAAGTTGAATTTGTTGCATACTGAGTAGAATATTGAATTCATGCAAATGAAGTGACGTGTGGGCATTGTATTAGGTGTTCTAAGTAACCAACACATGATTTAAAGTACACGGGAGGGGCCCAGCACAGTGGCTTATGCCTGGAATCCCAGCACTTTGGGAGGCCAAGGTGGGCGGATCACCTGAGGTCAGGATTTCGAGACCAGCCTGGCCAACATGGTGAAACCCCGTCTCTACTCAAAATACTAAAATTAGCTGGGCATGGTGGCAGGCGCCTCTAATCCCAACTACTCAAGAGACTGAGGCAGGAGAATTGCTTGAACTCTGAGGCAGAGGTTGCAGTGAGCTGAGGTTGCGCCACGGCACTCCAGCCTGGGTGACAGGGTGAGACTGTGTCTCAAAAATAAAAATAAAAGGCCAGGCGTGGTGGCTCAAGCCTGTAATCCCAGCACTTTGGGAGGCTGAGATGGGCAGATCACGAGGTCAGGAGATTGAGACCATCGTGGCTAACACGGTGAAACCCCGTCTCTACTACAAAAAAATACAAAAAAATTAGCCAGGTGTGGTGGCGGGCGCCTGTAGTCCCAGCTACTCAGGAGGCTGAGGCAGGAGAATGGCGTAAAACCCGGGAGGCAGAGCTTGCAGTGAGCTGAGATCCGGCCACTGCACTCCAGCCTGGGCGACGGAGCGAGACTCCGTCTCAAACAATAAAATAAAATAAAATAATAAAAATAAAAAATAAAGTTCATGGGAAGATGTGTGTCAGTTATATGCAACTACTACACCCTCATATGTCAGGGATTTAGAGCATCAGTGGATTTTGGTATCCTTGGGGGTCCTGGAACCAGTCCCCCACAGATACCAAGGGATTCCTATAAATGCAAATATTCCAAAATCCAAATTCAAAATCTGAAGCACTTCTGGTTCCAAGCATTTCAGATAACAGATAGTCATTAGACTTTAGTTTTTATTATTTATTTTAATTAACTTTTTTTTTTTTTTTTTTTTTGAGACAAGCTCTCACTCTGTTTCCCAGGCTGGAGTGCAGTGGCACGATCAGGGCTCACTGCAGCCTTGACTTCCCGGGCTCAAGCAATTCTCCCATCTCAGCCCCTCAAGCAGCTGGAACCACAGGCGTGCACCACCATGTCCAGATAATTTTTTTGAATTTCGGTAGAGACCAGGTCTTGCTGTGTTGCCCAGGCTGGTCTTGAGCTCCTGGCCTCAACCGATCCTCCACCTCTGCCTCCCAAAGACTGTAGGCAGGAGGTACCTCACCCGGCCATAGATCTTACTTTTTTTTTTTTTTAAGATGGAGTCTTGCTCTGTAGCCCAGGCTGGAGTGCAGTGGTGCAATCTCGGCTCACTGCAAGCTCCGCCTCCCGGGTTCACGCCATTCTCCTGCCTCAGCCTCCCGAGTAGCTGGGACTACAGGCACCTGCCATCACGCCAGGCTAATTTTTTGTATTTTTAGTAGAGACAGGGTTTCACCGTGTTAGCCAGGATGGTCTCGATCTTCTGACCTCGTGATCCGCCCACCTTGGCCTCCCAAAGTGCTGGGATTACAGACATGAGCCACCGTGCCCAGCCAGATCTTACGTTTTAGAAGAGTTCTAGGTTTCCAGAAAAATTGAGTAAATAGAGTAGCGTTCCCATACACCTCGACCACCCATACACAGTTTCCCCTGTGATAGGCATCTTGTATTAGTGTGCTGCATTTGTTATGATTGATGGACCAGCATTAAAACGTTATGAACTATTGTTCATAATCTACATTAGAGTTTACTCACACACTCACTATTTATTTATTTATTTGTTTGTTTGTTAATGAATGACAGGGTCTGGCTATGTTGTCCAGGCTGGTTTCAAACTCCTGGCCTCAACTGATCCTCCTACTTCAGCCTCCCAAGGTGCTGGGATTACAAGTATGAGCCACTGAGTCCAGCTGAGAGCTCATTTCTTTTTATCACTAGATAACATTTATCCTGTTTGCGTTTTACAGTGGAAAAGCAGAGAGCACAGTATGCTGGACCATGGGAATTCCACAATTCCCAGCACACAGCTGGCTTGGTTCTGTCCTTGCCTCCTGTCCCTGCCATGCACAAAATGCATGGAACTTCCCCCTGGTTGCAGTGTGCATAGCTGGTGATGGGGTGGGGATGGGCCTGGGAGCCATGGGGTGTCCTGGCTGATCGAGGGAACATGGGAGTAGAAAGAAGAGGATGCATTTGAGGTACCTGAGAGGGAGAGCGGCCTGGACGAGCTTTGGGTCTATTTTATTTTATTTTATCTATTTATTTATTTATTCTTTTTTGTCTGAGACAGGGTCTCACTCTGACACCCAGGCTAGAGTGCCGTGGCACGATCTTGGGTCACTGCAACCTCGAGACCAGCCTGGCCAACATGGTGAAACCCCGTTGGGATCAAGCAATTCTCTTGCCTCAGCCTCCCAAGTAGCTGGGATTACAGGCACCCGCCACCATGTCTGGCTAATTTTTTTTTTTTTTTTTTTAGTGGAGATGGGGTTTCGCCGTGTCAGTCAGGCTGGTCTTGAACTCCTGAGTCCCAGCACTTTGGGAAGCCGAGGTGGGAGGATCACTTGAGGTCAGGAGTTTAAGATCGGTCTGGCCAACAGAGTGAAACCCTGTCTCTACTAAAAATACAAAAATATTAGTTGGGCATGGTGGCAATCCCAGCTACTCAGGAGGCTGTAATCCCAGCTACTCGGGAGGCTGAGATATGAGAATTGCTTGAACCTGAGAGGCAGAGGCTGCAGTGAGCATGGTGGCTCATGCCTATAATCCCACCACTTTGGGAGGCCATGGTGGGAGGATTGCTGGAGCCCAGGAATTCGAGACCAACCTGGGCAACATAGTAAGACCCCATCTCTATAAAAAATTTAAAAATTCGCTGGACGTGGAGGGAGGCAGGCTGGCGGGCAGCTAATGTGTCCTGTTTTTGTGATTCATATAAACAGAGCCTAGAGACACTTGATTTTGAAGACAGCTTATTCTTTGATCCTGAATTTGCAAAGTTTCCTCTGCTAACAATTCTGGTTTTCATCCCTCATGGCCTCCTGGCTTCCATCTTGTGCTTCTCTCCTTCATTTGTTCACACATTCATTCCCTGGCCTTGCCAGCTCTTACTCAGGGTGGCAACTGCAAAAGCAGGGCAAGGGAGATGGGGTGGATGAGGGACAGGCCACAGAGCAGAGATGTTTTTGGCTGCAAGTAACAGAAAATGGGCTGAAGAGCAATTCTGAACATCATCTCGCCCCGCAGGACTGGGGAGGCTTTACAGTTGGCTGATTCAGCAGCCCCATGGTGCACTGGGGCTCGTTTTTTTCCTTCCATCCCCGGGTATTCCCTCCCTCGGCACATGGCTGTGCCCCTCATGGTGGCAAAATGGCTGCAGCTGCTCCCAGCGTTGCATCACACGCCTATTCCAAAGCCATTCCCAGGCCCAGTAACTGGAATGCCCATGACTGTGACTGGCTGGGACCATAGAGGAGCACAGATCTCCAAGGCACATGGCTGCTGGCCCCTGAATGACATCAGGGGCCTTTTGGCAAGAACCGAGCAGGAAATGGCTGTGAGGTCGGCAACCAGAAGGGTCTTCCTCCCATGGCAGGACAGGCAGGGCTAGACCAGCTCACAGAAGGGCCTTGAATGCTGAGTGAGGAGCAGACATGAATGCCACTAGGGTAGAGGTCCAGGCAGGAAGGAGAGAGCTCCATTTTCAGGCCCTACCGAGTGCTGGGCAATGTGCCCCCTCCTTCACTCTGACAGCCCTGTGGGGATAGACTGGACCCCTCCCATCTTATAGATGAGGAAATGGAGGCCGGGGTGGTACAGGGAGCTTGCGGCAATCCCTCAGCCAGCACGTGGGGGCTGACCATTCTGCAGCCCCTCAGGCGACGCCCTGTTCTCTTTCAGGCTCACGGCCTTTGTTCTGAAGTCCTTCGCACAGGCTCGCAGCTTTATCTTCGTGGACCCCCGGGAGCTGGCTGCCTCCAAGAGCTGGATCATCCAACAGCAGCAGGCCGATGGCTCCTTCCCAGCCGTGGGCAGGGTCCTGAACAAGGACATCCAGGTGAGTGGCCTCTCGAGCCTCCTTCCGGGGCCTCTCACCTCCTCCTGGAGCCCCAGCCCTGACCTGCCTGTTCCTACTCCTTGGAGCTGCCTGGAGCAAGTTGGGGGAAGTGGACCATCTCCTTTGGCTTGGGGTGAGGCCTGTGAGTCCCCTTGCAGGGTGGGATCCATGGCACTGTCCCGCTGACAGCCTACGTGGTGGTTGCTCTCCTGGAAACAGGCACAGCCTCAGAGGTGAGTACAGAAGGGGTTTGGGGAGACTCGGGGCTGGGTACTGGAGGAGCAAGTGAGAGGTTCCCTCCTTTATGCCAGGGTTGATTTCTTCCTCCTTGCCCTCCTTCTGCTCACTGTTAAGGCTTTTTCATGCTTTTCATCAACAATGGTCACATTATATCCAGTTTCTTGTAATCTGAGCAGAGGAGAGAGAGATTCCCATGCTACTAGGGGGAAATCGGGCACGTGTTGGGGGCTGGGGAGGTTCCCTGAGTACAAGGCCTCCCATGACTGTCCAGCCCCCAGACCTCCTTCAGAGAATCATTTCAGGCTAGTTCAGGTTCCTGGCCAGTGACCCAAGGGTTGGCTTCAGGGAACCCTACAAAATGTTGGACTCATGCATGTTTTTGTGGGGAAGGGGTTAGGATATTCAGAGACAGTTGGACTGGATGGGGCTTAGATGGTCCAAGACACTTGAGGGCCATAGTCTCTTCTATGAGGCGTTCCTGGGATGGGGGATGGCACAGTCTCTGCAGAGAAGGCTACCATGATGGATCTCAGCCCCAGGTGAGAAGAATCTGCCCTCCCTAATACCTACATCAATTCTACAATCTCTGATGATAAACTATGACTTTGGGCACTTCTCAGGATTCTTGGTCTCACAATCCAGAGAACTGGTGGGTCTAGGGTTTGCTGTGACGTAAGACCCCCACAATGCACAATGTCCAGAGGGCTCCTTGCCCTGTGTTATGGGCTGAATTAGTTCTCCCCTGACCAAATTCTTATGCTGAATTCCTAACTCCCTATCTTAGCTTGGGCTGCAGAAACAAAATACCATGGAGTAAATGGCTTCAACAATAGGCATTTATTTCTCACAGTTCTAGAGGCTGGGAAGTCCAAGACCAAGGCACAGGTAGATTTGGTTCTTGGTGAGGGCTCTCTTCCTGGTTTGTTGACTACCACCTTCTCACTGTGTGTTCATGTGGTGTTTCCCTAGTGTGTGCATGTGGAGAGAGAGCTCTAGTGCTTTTCCTCTTCATATAAAGACACTAATCCTGTTACTATGGAGGCTCCATCCTCATGACCTCAATCTAAACCGAATTATCTCTCAAAGGTCCCCGACTCCTAATACCATCATATTAGGAGTTAGAGCTTCAACATATGAATTCTGAGGAAGATCACAGGTATTCCATGACACCCCCCCCCATGCCTCAAATTCATCCCCCACATCTCCCATGGAAGTGGTCAAATATGTCACCTCCCAAATGCATTTTTCTGGAAACTTCCCTGCCAGAGCCCTTGACCCCCACTCTAGTTGGAATGGACAGCACCCAGGATGCTGCACAATTGCTACCCTCCCTTACTAAGGAAGGATATTGGGAGGCACATTGTTTGAGACCTTGCATGTCTGCAAATATTCTTATTCTGCCCCTGTATAATAGTTGGGCTGGGTATAGAATTCCAGGTTGGAAATTGCTTTCTTGTAGAATAGTTGATGATGTTCTATCATCTTCTAGTTTCCAGTGTTCCATCGAGAAGTCAGTTGTCATTCTGAGTAACTCTCCTTTGTATCTGGTTTGTTCCCTTCCTGGAAGCTTTCCAATCTTCTCATTGTCCATATCACTATGGACAACAAGATATGTGCACTTTTATGACACATATCTTGAGGTGAGGCTTTTTTTTTCCAGCTCACTGCAACCTCTGCCTCCTGGGTTCAAGTGATTCTCTTTGGCTTGGGGTAAGGCCTGTGAGTCCCCTTGCAGGGTGGGATCCATGGCACAGCAGCTTCAGACTCCTGAGTAGCTGGGACTACAGGCATGTGCCATTGTATCCGGCTAATTTTCATATTTTTAGTAGAGACCAGGTTCCACCATGTTGGCCAGGTTGGTCTCAAACTCCTGACCTCAGGTAATCCTCCTGCCTTGACCTCCCGAAGGACTGGGATTACAGGTATGAGCCATCCTCATGCCCAGCCCTTCCTTATGTCTTCAATGAGCACTCAACAGGCCCTCCACCTCCTTCCCTCCCTTGAGATCACTTCACTTCTCCCAAGAATCTTTTTCTGCCTTCTCCAGATCCTTCCAACCTATTTCTCTTCTGAATTTGAAGACCTTCCCCACAGGGCAGCAGTTGATTCTCTCCAGTCTTCTGGATTCTGGTCTCTTAGATCAGCAGTACCCAAACTTTTTGGCACCAGGGACCAGTTTTGTGGAAGACAATTGTTCCATGGCCTGGGGAAGAGGGGCTAGTTTTGGGATGATTCAAGAGCATTACATCTATTGTGCACTTTATTTCTATTATTATTAAATTATAATATATAATGAAATAATTATATAACTCACCATAATATAGAATCAGTGGGAGCCCTGAGCTTGTTTTCCTGCAACTAGACTGTCCCTTCTGAGAGTGATGGGAGACAGTGACAGATCATCAGGCATTAGATTCTCATAAGGAGTGTGCAACCAGCTGGGTGCAGTGGTTTACACCTATAATCCCAGCACTTTGGGAGGCCAAGGCAGGCAGATCACTTGAAGTCAGGAGTTCAAGACCAGCCTGGCCAACATGACAAAACCCTGTCTCTACTAAAAATACAAAAGTTAGCCAGGCATGGTGGTGCATGCCTGTAGTCCCAGCTACTTGGGAGGCTGAGGCAGGAGAATCACTTGAACCTGGGAGGCAGAGGTTGCAGTGAACCAAGCTCGTGTCACTGTACTCCAGCCTGGGCAACTGAGCAAGACTCTGTCTCAAAAAAAAGAAAAAAGGAGTCTGCAACCTAGATCCCTCACATGCTCACAGTTCACAATAGGGTTCATGCTCCCATGAGAATCTAATGCCGCTGCTGATCTGATGGGAGGTAGAGCTCAAGCGATGGGGAGCATCTGTAAATACAGATGAAGCTTTGCTGGCTCACCTGTCACTCACCTCCTGCTGTGCAGCCCCTTCCTAACAGGCCACTGACTGGTATCAGTCTGTGACCTGGAGGTTGGGGACCCCTGTCTTAGATCATTCCCCAAAGGAGGCAAAACCTGCTGTCTTCATTTCCTGTGACTGCCATAATAAACTGCCACAATAAACTGCCACAAACTGGGTGGCTTAAAACAACAGAAATACATTCTCATTGCTTTGGAGACCAGAAGTGCAAAATCAAGGCATTGGCAGGCCCTTGCTCCCTCTGCAGGCTCTAAGGGAGGAGCTGTCTTTGCTGCCTCCAGCTTCCAGGGGCTCCAGGCATTCTTTGGCTTGTGTCTGCATCACTCTAGCCCCTGCCTCTGTCTGCATGTCTTCTTCCCTTCTCGTCTTCTCCCCTTCTCATCTCTTAAATAACGCTGTTGCCAGGTGCAGTGGGGCATTGCTGTAGTCCCAGCCACTCAGGAGGCTGAGGCAGGAGGATCACTTGACCCAGGAGTTCTGGGCTATAGTGCGCTGCACCAATCAAGTGTCTACACTAAGTTCAGCATCAGTATGGTGACCTCTTGAGAGCAGGGGACCACCAGGTTGCCTAAAGAGAGGTGAACTGGCCCAGGTCACAAATGGAGCAGGTCAAGACTCCTGTGCTGATAGTACTAGTGAAATCGTGCCAATGAACAGCCACTGCACTTCAGCCTGGGCAACATAGTGAGACCTGTCTCTGATTTAAAAAATAAAAATTAAAGGTGCTTGTCACTGGAGGACAAGCACAGTGGCTCACGCCTCTAATCCCAGCACTTTGGGAGGCTGAGGTGGGCAGATCACATGGGTCCAGGAGTTCGAGACCAGCCTGGCCAATGTGGCGAAACCCCATCTCTACTAAAAATACAAAAATCAGCTAGGCATCATGGCACGTGCCTGTAATCCCAACTACTCGGGAGGCTGAGGCAGGAGAATCACTTGAACCTGGGAGGTGGAGGTTGCAGTGAGTTAAGATTGCACCACTGCACTGCAGCCTGGGTGACAGAATGAGACTCCGTCTCAAACACAAACAAACAAACTTCCGTGCTGATCATCAGTGCGACTGTGCCTGTGAACAGCCACTACACGCCAGCCTGGGTGATGTAGTGAAACCTCTGTCTCCCATACAAATTTGTTTTTTGAGATGAAGTTTTGCTCTTATTGCCTAGGCTGGAGTGCAATGGCGCGATCTCGGCTCACTGCAACCTCTGCCTCCTGGATTCAAGGATTCTCCAGCCTCAGCATCCCAAGTAGCTGGGATTACATGTGCCACCACGCCTGGCTATTTCTGTTTTTTTTTTTTTTTTTTTTTTTTTTTTTTTTTTTTGAGACGGAGTCTCGCTCTGCCGCCCAGGCTGGAGTGCAGTGGCCCGATCTCAGCTCACTGCAAGCTCCGCCTCCTGGGTTCACGCCATTCTCCTGCCTCAGCCTCCCGAGTAGCTGGGACTACAGACGCCCGCCACCGCGCCCGGCTAGTTTTTTGTATTTTTTAGTAGAGACGGGGTTTCACCGTGTTAGCCAGGATGGTCTCGATCTCCTGACCTCGTGATCCGCCCGTCTCGGCCTCCCAAAGTGCTGGGATTACAGGCTTGAGCCACCGCGCCCGGCCTATTTCTGTATTTTTAGTAGAGATTTTTATTTTTTTTTTGAGATGGAGTCTCGCTCTGTCGCCCAGGCTGGAGTGTAGTGGTGCAATCTCGGCTCACTGCAAGCTCCGCCTCCCAGGTTCACACCATTCTCCTGCCTCAGCCTCTCAAGTAGCTGGGACTACAGGTGCCCATCACCACGCCCGGCTAATTTTTTGTAATTTTAGTAGAGATGGGGTTTCACCGTGTTAGCCAGGATGGTCTCTATATCCTGATCTTGTGATCCACCCGCCTCGGCCTCCCAAAGTGCTGGGATTACAAGCATGAGCCACCGTGCCCAGCCAAAAAAACTTTTAAAAAGATACTTGTCATTGGATTTGAGGCCACCCTAATCCAAGGTGATCTCATCTCAAGACCCTTAATTACATCTGCAAAGACCCATTTCCTAAATAAGTCAACATTTACAGGTTCCAGGGAATATATCTTTTTTGGCGGACCACCATTCAACCCGCTATACCTTTGCTGGAATCAGATGAGCTAGGGGGCACCTAGCAAATGACCTTGACCCCTTGGAGTTCTGTTGCATCGCTTGTCTGTAAACAGGGGAGGTTCTGCACAGCTGGGGCTGGGCCAGGTCCATCCCTGCTGGGTGTGGTCTCCTCAGCATCCTTGAGATCCGTCCTGGCCCACGTGGCCTGGGGTAGCTCCTATGTCACTGTTCCTGCCCCTGGCATAGGGATGTCCAGCCTTCCCCCACCCCCAGGCAATGGACTTGTGAGCACCAGTCCTAGGGTCTGGCTAGTCAGCCCGGTTCATCCCGGGCACATGCCCCCCGAGGTGCATCTCAGTGTCACACCTTAGGGACAGTTCCCACATTTGTCCTGGTCTAAGGATGGAAAGCTTTGGAAACATTCTTTCTATGACCAGGACAGTTCCGAAAGCAGAGTTAGCTCAACTCCATACCTCTGTCGGGCCACCAGAACACTTTGGCTCCATTGCTAAATTTGTTAATGCTTCCGGTCACTCATTTCTTCTACATAATATTATTGGGCAGCTTCTCTGAACCAAAACCATCAGATTCTGGACTTGGTCCCTGTCTTCCAGCAGATCACATTCGAGGGAGGGCATGAGCAGGGCTGGTTGGCTTCTCTAAGGAGGTGACCAGGCCTGGAGGCTGGGGAGGGCTTGGGCTGTGGAGGTCTTAGGAATCAGCTCCCTTTCTTTCTTTCTTTCTTTCTTTCTTTCTTTCTTTCTTTCTTTCTTTCTTTCTTTCTTTCTTTCTCTTTCTTTCTTTCTTCCTCTTTCTTTTTTTTTTTTTTTTTTTTTTTTTGAGACGGAGTCTCGCTTGCCGCCCAGGCTGAGTGCAGTGCGGATTCAGCTCACTGCAAGCTCCACTCCCGGTTCCGCATTCTCCTGCCTCAGCTCCCAGTACTGGACTACAGGCCCCGCCACCTCGCCCGCTAGATTTTTGTATTTTTTTAGTAGACGGGTTTCACCATGTTAGCCAGGATGTCTCGATCTCCCGACCTCGTGATCCGCCTCCCAAGTGCTGGGATTACAGGCTTGAGCCACCGCTCCCGGCCCTCTTTCTCTTTCTTTCTTTCTTTCTTTCTTTCTTTCTTTCTTTCTTTCTCTTTCTTTCTTTCTTTCTTTCTCTTTCTTTCTTTCTTCTTTCTTTCTTTTCTTTCTTTCTCTCTCTCTCTGCCCCTCCCCTCCCCTCCCTCCCCTCCCCTCCCCTTCCCTTCCCTTCCCTTCCCCTCACCTCCTTCTTTCTTCTTTCTTTTTTTAGACGGGATCTCACTCTGTTGCCCAGACTGGAACACAGTGTCTCACTGCAACCTCTGCCTCTGGGGTTCAAGGGATTCTTGTGCCTCAGCCTCCTGAATAGCTGGGATTATAGGTGCCCGCCACCACGCCTGGCTAATTTTTGTATTTTTAGTAGAGATGGAGTTTCACCATGTTGGCCAGGCTGGTCTTGAACTCCTGAGCTCAAGTGATCTGCCCACCTCGGCCTCCCAAAGTGCTAAGATTACAGGTGTGAGCCACTGTACCTGGCCATAGCTAGCTGTCTTAACAAAGACCCGGCCATGGGGCTGGGTGGGACAGGGTGGCCAGGGCTCTGCCTG